GCCATACCACATCAGCACAGAGACGCAACTGTCAGCTCAAATCCAAGAGTGATAACGGTAGTAGAAGTATTAGCAGCAATGGAGAAGATTAAGGAGCGAAGATACGATTCGAAAAGTATAATTCAATGTGACGAATTTGTAAGGAGGAAGATAAAGATTATGAAGAATTCAGAAGGTTAGAATTAAAAAGAACGCAAAGAGTGGGGTGGACGATTCTGAACCATGTCGTTCAAGGTCTCTAACCATCGGTGAATTTCGTCTCACGGATCCCAACCAGGTAGACTACATCTACCAACATGACTCAGTCCACTTGTCTCACTCGTTGGGTATTCTACTCGAAAGACTGCCATTTGACTAGAGAATTCAAGCCCGAATCGAACGCACATAAGAAAAGTCAAAATGGTGCTAACAAAAACATGTATAATGGCCCTACGTTCTGAACAGCCTTCGCACGGCAGTGTGCAGTAGGTTTTAAGCTTTGGCTGACAGTATCTCCAGTGTGTGCATGGATATTAGGCAGCTGCCATGTTCTAAACCTTTAAAAAACGCCTGTAGGCCATTCCAAAGTCATGATCTATTCACTTCGTTTCTCAACGCTCTTTACGTCTTGATATCATCAGCGTATAAAAAACCAACTTTTGTGGCTTCGTTCAACTACAGTTAGGGCTTACTATTTCAGCGGCCTGCCAACTGTTTAAATTTTGGGTGGAAGGTCGAGTAGGCGATAAAATAGGTCGTCCCTTTAATATCCGTATATGACACCAAGGTAAATCCGTTTGTGCGATGGCGGTAATAAGAAGCCAAATATGGCTCTTCGGATGAATTATTTCATGCATTCACTTAAGCAAACAAGAATAGGAATCAAAAGCGTACAAGCAGAGGGAAGGGAAGTGGAAAAGGCGAGTGACCAAACTCAATGCAATGAAGTGTAGTGGAACAATTCTACGAAGAAAACGTGATTTGTGGAAAATAAACATTTTTTATTGTACTCCTTTTGTTTAACTATACTAAAAAACACTTACGCACAACCTTCTTTTTCGTGTTGCTGCCATCATTCATAACTTGCTGCTCGTTATATCGACCACTATTTCCTTCTAATATGTTCTTTAGCCTGGATTTACTGATACTTTATTGGCGGGCTAGTAATTAGTAATTAGTATTTAGTGGTGATCATAGTCAATATCGACTCGGTCAACACTAAAGAAGCATAACTGAGTATTTATAGTCAGACAAAATAAGCTGGACATGTAATAGAAGTATGTATGCACACACATATTGGGGTAAAAATGACCTAGATATGAGCAAATGATCGGCAAGGTCAAAAGGCATGAGAATAACAATTCAAGAAGAATGGATTAATTAAATTTTACAAAGACAAAGACAAGCCCTCTGGGCTCGACATAAGAGTACACATACTACATCAACGATAATCGGAAAGTAGAGATATCATTTAAATTCAAGAGGAGTGACATAAATCCAAAAATTGTACCCTAGTGTATAGTGTTCTAGACAGACATTTCACAGTTAAGTTGAACTATGATGAGAGTTCAACTACAAAGCCATTTGTTCATATAAGTACGTTTCCCTCAATCCTACTATATCTTAACTAAATCCAAAAGAAGAAGAGTACAAACCTCATTATTAAACTTAAATGGGTTATTCTGTTTCACTGGTATGTTGAAAGGTAAGCGTATCGCTGTAACGTTTGTCCGCGAATTTCACAGAACATTTGATGATATTTTTGTAGGGATACTGTAAGCGAAATATCCTACATTTTTACTCCCTAGAAATGTAATATGGATATCACTATTTCCTCAGTTTTCTGGATTCTGTCTGAGCTTACTGCTGTCAAGTTTACGAAGTAAAGTCCCTTGTTCTCCACAAACCGGATAATATACATCTCTGTGATGGTGCTGGTTGAGTCTGGCTGTATATCTAACTTCAATATCATGAAAGCAATCTCTAGGCTTATGATTAAGTTAACAACTCTTTTCCAGAATCATATCTCAACCTCCGCCGCTTTCCAAGTACATGAGTTTTGTATTGTTAGAAATTGGCAGGCCTTTTTGAAAAGAAATTCATGAAATATTTCCTTTATATCTATTCCAAAGAACTAAAAGTTTTTCATTTACTTCACGCTTTCTCTAACCTAATATGAGTGTTTATATTGTCCATTATCTGGATAACTAATCTGTAAGTTTTTAAGAAATTGAACACCTCCATATCGCGAGCTATCAGTCTTAACAGCGTTAAATTGTTAGAAGCAATTGAATTTGTAAGTGAAAATTTTTAATGCTCTTCATTGTAAGGTCGAAAATACGTGCTACCTACGAAATTGACGACTTCAAGGTCGAATTACGGTTTGTATGTGTTAGGTGCACGGATCTTACTAGAGTGGTGGTGTATTCTGATTTTCACTCAAAAAATAAAGTGTTTCAGAAACCGGCTTTTCATCCATAAATTAGGGACGGGTGTATTTGCACACCTAAAGATCCTTCAGAAGAACGACTCCGAGTTAAGAATTCAGAAATAAGTTTACCACCTCATGTATTCTGTGATACATTTGATGTCCGGTTACAGATTACTTGTATGTTATTATTACTGAGGTAAGTATCGGTGATGCTCGATCGTTGATATCAACAAAATATCTTTTTAGTAGGTGAAGTTTACATGTTGCTTAAGCCAAGTTACCAAAAAACATGTACTCCTAAGACAAATTCCGTTCTGATGTACCGACTGTGATTAGATGTTCATTCGAACGTTCGATGGAGCGAGATAGTATTCTGTCATTTTAAATTCTTCCCATAATAACAACCCTTGTCTTATTAAGTTTGTAAGCAAAAACTTCTGAAAGCTCGGCATCGTCGTTGATATCGTTTGGTGATAAAATCTTTATCCATATATGTGGCCGAAACTTTCAAATCTATCTCAATGCCTAATGTTTAACCTGATTTTTTGTTATAGTTGGTATCAGTTGGCGCTCAAATCTCACAACATTTTCACGACTCCTGTTATATAACTCTTTTCTTTCACTACAAGGAGTAGTTCGACATGCAAGGATTGGCTGTTCAGGTCAAAACCACTATCCTACTGTTATTTTGTTGCTCCTTGTAAATAGGCAGCTCTTCCTGACTAATAGGTAGTTCATGGAGAACAACTTCACTAAAGCTTAAACTACCAACCCTTGAAAAAGCTAGTTCACTAGTTAAACGTATCTTTGTATCAATGTTGGTGAAATATATATATATATATATTCTAATCCTGTAAATATATACTACGGTTTTCTAGTCTATAAAAGCATTCGTAAATCTTAACAACTTAGTTACTGCTTTGCAGCTTATTCATTTTTCACGAGTATGCAGTGCTAGGTTTTATTTTCAAACGTTTGGTCTATCTCTTCATCAAAGCATTTCATAGAATGATTTTCTTGTTGATATTCCTTATCTCTATCAGATTGTTGTTTCGGTTTCTTTTTGGTTTAAAGGCACATTTCCACATTACTTGTTCTGTCAAATTTTACCCTTCTGAATTCCTCATTACCTTTATCTTTGTCTTTTTAAGTTTATTTCACTAGATTCTACATCTTGAATAATATCCTCGAACCCTAATCTTCTCCATTACTGCTAATACATCTACTATCTCCACCACTATGGGGTTCGAACTGACAATTGCATCTCTGTGTTAATGTGGTATGGCACCCTACACTGATGTACATGTATACGAAGTTCTACGTTGTAACTGACTTACTGACATTACCTGGAAACACGATCTCAAGATGCTGAATAGCGTTTGTTTAGTAACAAGTACCATAAGCAAACCTTTTGGTCATCACATATAGGGCTCTTGATTTGATTATACTACATTGTGGAAATTGGGATAACTTCATCATGTAATTTTATGAGGTTAAAGACCTTGAATGACATGGCTCAAAATTGTTTGCAGTTGCACAAGTCCATTCCTTCTTTGTGTTCTCTCAAATTATAGTCTTCTGACTTCTTCGTCACCTTCATTGTTCTCTTCTCGAATTTATTTCACTGGATTACGCTCCTTGAATAATATCTTCGAACCTCAGTCTTTCCGATTGCTGCTTATTTTTCTGCTACTTCTACCACTATGGGATTTGAATCAACAGTTGCATATCTGTGTTAATGTGGTATGGCAACTTGGACTGATTTACGTACGTACGAAGTTCCTCGTTGTAGCTGACTGACTGTAATTTTATAAAATATAATTGTTTCCACGTCATCTCTTTTGTTGTAGTTAGCATACAGTTTAATTCATGTAATTTAAGGGTTCGTGCACTTTAGTTAGAAATTAGTAATCGTCCGTTTGTTTAGTACGTTTTTGATCGTTGTTATCATAGTCGGTTTTAATATTATTACTGTAACGTATTCGTGTGGACTGATATCTTAAAAAGATACCTTACGGGAGGGTGGACTCCTGTTTAGGAAAGTCCGTCTTGTTCGATAGAAGAACCTAGCCAATATCATGATTTCAGGAAATCATAAATGTTTCGCCTATACACATCACTTGGTTTCACTACCTGTTCCTTTATCAGGTTGCTTTGCGGCTATCACCAAATCAAGAAATAACACATTTCCCACAAGTAAATCGTTGTATCTGTACAATGATTAAAACCAAAGCATATAGCTGTCATGTTGTTCTTTCAAGTTTTCTGTTTCCCCCCTCATTCAAAGTTGTCACCACTGTATCGTAATGAAAGGGACTGCAAATAACAATCAATCCATGACTGGTAAACACTACTTTCATTAATGAAAGTCCAGCTGCTACAACTGTGATTTCCGTAAAATAATACTTGCACTTCTGTATGCGGTGACAAGCTAAAGATTCCAAATGCTTTAATTTGTTTTTATATGTTTTTTTTAATTTGTTCGTTAATTTTTAGCTTAGATGTTAATCACATTTATATCCTTCTTCATGAGGTTCATTTTTTGTTTAACTATAGCCAAACATCATATCACAATAACGTGATTTAAAGAATGCCAGGTGGTTACATTCCCGGTCTTCCACCTGCCTATCCTAACAGTTGGGTCCCTTTAGGAATATCTAACATGTCTAGCTTAGAACCTGCGGACTCGAATTGCACTTATGGGATTCATTGGATATGGGTTTCAATGGGAATGTGCGTTATGGATGCTCAAGGTGGTGTAGCCTTATTCTGTGGGGTCCTATGTTTATTTGTTTGGATTGCAGTGGGAATACCTCAAATTGTTGAAAATTTTCGGACGGGACTTGCAGACAAAGCTCTTTCAATTAGTTTTCTTTTCTTTTGGACTTTTGGCGATATTTGCAACTTGATAGGTTGTTTTTTAACACATCAGCTTATTATGCAGGTTAGTTCAGGTAGTTTTTTGATACTTTTATATTCATCATGGTTCAATTATATTATGCAATTGTAAATCGTATAAATCTTTTGATCGTAAATGCACTCTTTGGGTTAGAATCTGTTGATTTTATAAATTTATGTATTGGTTTTTGGTAGAATAAATATACTTGTTCTTAACGAGTACTTTTATTACCTACATACAAAGGTTATCAACTTGTTTTTAGCTTACTTCCAACCTACTCCTACAGCACAAAACATCGCTCGTCGAGGGAGTCGGTGGTTAGGCGTACGCAACACATGTCCCAACCACCTCAACTGATGAAGTTTCACTACTTTATCTATTGAGCTACCATCCTTACTTAGTACCTGTTTCCTAACAACAGCATTGCCTACTCGGTTGTCCCAGGATATACGAGCAATGCTTTGAAGACACCTATGATCGAATACTAGTAACCTACGAATATCCTCAACTATTACTGGCCATGTTTCGCATCCATATAGTAGGACGGAGCGAAATACTGCGCAGTACACTCGTCCTTTGGTTAACGAACGGATACCTCGCCTACGCCAGTCGAGCCTTCTGTATCCGAGCTGAGATTTCGTCAGTCACTAGGCCATCAGCACTAATGAGACTCCCGAGATAAGTGAAGCGGTCAACACGCCTAACTGCTTCTCTCCCTATCACTAGTTCAGGTGCCGTCGCAAGCCAATCCTGAAGCAACATTTCGATGGGGACAAAGCATCCCTAAAATGCTTGCATTGCTGCTTATGGTGCTTTAAAAGTCAATAATATACTTACACTAGTGGGGAAACGTGAAGCAGAAGTGGGGCTTTCAGGCAGAAAAAGAGTAAATCGAGATCATTCTTTATCTTTACAAGATGAGGTTAAATGAATGACGCTACTCGGATCCTGTATGCACGTTTTGGAGACTTGGCATACATCGATGGCACGAGATTCTACAGTCCTTGCTAAGGAAACCTGTCGTCCCATTTAGTACAAGCTCCTGACATTAAAAGTTACAACATGTAGTTTAGAGCGGGGTTTCAGGAGACCAGGATTAACGTTTCATGTACCCAAATCGTCGGCATTAGCGGTGCAAGGTGAAAAAAGAATGTGAGAACGGTTAATAGTAGAGATAAGATAGTTATTAAGAGTTGCAGGAAGGATTTGATCTTGGGCAAGTCGATCTCGTATGATATTAGGGGTACGAGGGCAGATGTCACTTGCCGGTTGCCCACACTGTAGAATGAATACGGTATAATATTAAAAGGTTTTGGCAGAAAATAAAGCAGCTAATCATTTCTTTCTAATCTTTAAAACTTTTAATGTCTAAGTGCCTATTACATATCTCTCGAATGATTGTTTTAGTTCCGAATATTACCATTTATGAAATCTAGTAATATCGTGTCTTCAGGTTGTTATTGTAGCATACACTTTAGTTCACAAACCTGAGTTTTTTTAAATCATGGATGATATATTATAATCATATAGTTTTATATCTGAACTAAGTTGATCACAGACTTTATGCGGAATTTTTTCGGCGAAAACTTATTGTTTCTCTGTGTCTATTTGATTTCTGCATTAGTTTTAACTCTATCCTATCGTAGAGATTCCGTTATTTTTTCAGTCTTCTTCATCCGCATAGCGTTGTATTCTATATGAAAGATATCTGAATGATCGTTAATTAGGAGTATCCATACTGAGTTAAATGGATTGTTTTTAGTATCTCAATCAGAGATTTTATGAATCATTTTATTTAATTTTTCCATGTCTAGCTTCAACAAAATACAACGTAACTGATGAAATAAATGTTTCATTATTTCTTGGTGTTTTTATCTTGTGATAAAGATTTTTACGGGTAGAAAATACCTAAAATTAACCTTTCAAACTAAAGCGCACAAACGATCAAAACATTGATTCAAGGACGATAGTAAGAACGATTTCTTTCGGTCAGTTTCATATCTTAAAACTGTACGACTGTATTTATTGTTCCTATATGAAAACGGTTATTTGTTGTCTTAAGAATATTGACTGTATTGATAATAAGGTGTTTGGGAGTCGTGGGAAACATTTCAGTAGGTGATTATGTAACTGTCCATAGGATGATCTATAATGTTACCGTATCTGACTGGAACTTGAATTGCTAATTATAAAAAGTTTTAGTGTATAATGAGCGACTAACATACTGTTCCAAATGAACTTTGTAAAAAAATTTGTTCTATTTCCGACTCTGCTTTAATCTTACTGTACAATTTAAGGATTACAAATTACTTGTATTTTACAGATTGTTGTAACGGGTTATTGTATCGTTAGTGACCTCGTCCTTGTGCTTCAGTTTATTTATTGCAAAATTCGTCATAAGGCTGTTTTACGTCGTAAGTTTGGTGCGATTGGGTTATTGCAAGTTTTTTTTGTGTACACATGGTTCAAATAAACTTATAATGTATCAACTTTGATGATAAGATGTGCATAAATCTTTGTGTTCTGTGTTTACATTATATTTGGGTTTACTATTTGACCGTGTTTTGAATGTTGTTGAAGGATTCTAACACCAATCAATGCCATACTCGTTACTTATTGTATCTCAACAGTTCATCAATACTCAGCTACTCGTAGACAAGGGGAAATAGAATATCACTTTGGGTGGTATAGTACGTTAATGTAAATATGAAGATTGGCATGAGAGGGGGGGGATTTGAAAGCGGCTCACTTTGAGCATAGAAATGGAAAATATTGTATCTGCTTGATTTCGTACCTCCAGTTAGCGTAGTCTATTAAAAATAGGAAAGTCAATGGGAAATGTAAGAAATTCACTGAACTAAATGCTATTTATTATTAACACTTATTTATCATGATGGTTGTAGTGATAAAGCTTTAGTGTGGAATAATATGTCAAGCCTACATGGCTTATTCTAGATTTTGGGCGGACTGGTTAATCTATTCTCACGTCATTATTCACAGGTCTTTTAAGCTTGACAACTATCCGCTCATAACTGTTGTTCTTTTTATTTGGGCGTGTTCATCGCTCACTTGATCACCACGTCTTTAGCTTATCTCTGTCTGACTTTAAATAATTAGTCATGCCTTATCAAAGAAAGTTGGCCCAATATCCTTCTCCGCTTTGCTTTTCAGCTTCTTATCGTCATGTTAGTCTGCGTAAACGATCGCATGAGATAAATTCATCCAACTCAGTCCGTATTTGGCTCCCGACCGAAGCTGCTACCTTGACGTGGTGGTCGGGCTTGCCTATCGTTATGACCCAACCGAGCTATATTGGCTGGAACTTATGTTCCTGAAGGTTCTACCATGCCAGGCAGGTCGATTGGAGAACAATGAGACTAAAAGCAGCTACTGAAGGTCTGATGGCGAAGTCGTACTGCTGACTGCAGAGGGTGTGACAGCAGTAAGGTGTTTCCCTCGGACGACCAGCATCTGCAGCAATGCTGCCTTCTCACAAGGAAGGAAGGGTTAGAAAAAGTCGGCCCTAACAATGTCACACCTCACCATACCTCACAGATTTCCGTCTCCGTCGGTAAGGGTGCCCACTAAGGGCTTTCAAGAGCGGAGCTAATACTCATAAACCCTTTCATCAGAAGGCTGTGCGTGACCGGCCTCAAGCAGTTGTCCCTTGGACTCTGCGGTCACGCTCCCAGGTCGTTAAGACCAACACTAATCTACCTTCCTTTTCAGGTTCCTCTAGAAACAACCTTCCACGGTGTGGGCAACCGGTAAGTGACAACTGCCATCATACCCGTAACAGCACACGAGACCGAATTGGTCAAAATCAAATCCTTCCTACACCCCCCATATTCGGCTTCTAATTACCGCCGTCACGCAAACGGGATCAGCCCTAAATATAATATACGGAATTAAATCGAAGATTTATTTTCATGGCATATTTAATTATTATTCCAAGTTGGAGTGGCCACTAAACACCTAGAAGGTAATCAGTGGTTCGAATCCGATTGTGACCTTAATTTATTTGAACCATACTTGTTCTCTCTTAGGTCGTAGGGCTATAGCTTCGAGTTCCCTTAGCTTCTGTTATATGTAGAAGACGGGATTGAACCTTTTTAAGAAATGACGAAGGAATAAGTTAGATCACTCAAAATAATCAGTTATATGGAGGATCGTTAAAGATGTTCTCGACTTCATTTCCAAGGTGGGAAATGCGAACTTTAGGGGAAAAAATTTAATCACACGAAATATTTATAAATTTACCAACGTACCACTAGTCAAGACGACTATGATTTAACCTAGGTGTGTAATTCTTCTAATATATCAAAAATTGCTTTTTAATACTAAACTGTCAAGAAGATAGTTTAATTAGTTGGATAATTCAATATTAGTTACTATTTAATATCAACTTGGATTATTTATTCTAGTCCTAGTGAGTGGTTGTCTTAGCTTGATTAGTTGATTGAAATAGCTGTTGAATTCATTGTTGTAGCATTAGTTCTGCTTTATTTGCTCATTATACCTCAGCAACTGACATCAGTATATACACGAAACCTAACTCCCGATCGCTTCCGACCGTATAACATTAGTTACTGTTTACAATTGTAACTGTAACTGAACCATTTGAAGGGTTTTAGTCTAGATAATTTGTTCCAGCCAAGTTGATTTTATGTAATCATGCAAAATTTTCATTTCAAAAGCATAATCAGTGTTCATCAAAGTAAAATTCAAGGTCGATACAGCAATTAGACCAATCGAATAACTTTTTAAACTGTTCGACAGTTTTCGATAAAGACATAACTATTATGAATACATAACAGACGACTATTGCTCTTATTTAACATACATATACGTAAGTTTTTTCAAGACTGCATTGGGAATATAATCAATTATAAAGCATTGTAGTCAGACTAATGATTAGTGCTACTAGAAATTGTATATGCATGTATTTGACTTGATGATTATAAACAGATATTTTTGTTCTTATTTCTCTGAATAGTTAATCCAAAAACTCAAAGTAAATTAATGCTATCGATTGACTAAATCTAATTTTCGTGTATTAAAATGTTTTTGAACAGTTTAGACTTTTTAAACACTGATTAACAGAAAAAGAAAGGAAATAAAAGGAAAACAAAAAATACAGATGACTGTTGATATACTGAGCCAATCAGAAATGATCTGACGAGAAGACCAGTGGAAAGACCAGTCAAGAAAGAATGGCCTTTTCTGAGGAAATGAATACATATACTTGGGTATTTGTTCATATTATTCAGTGGTCGATTAGGTCTGCTCTTTGCCTTCTCGCTCAGACAGCCAGTTTTTTCTATGAGGGAGAATTGGAACTTATCGCTTTCAGATCTCAACATCGCACATCATAACATCAGCGTTCAAACTGGTTGTTTTTAAGTGTGTGAGTTGTTCCTTTAATTCTTCACACTGCTATCAATGTTTTCTCTGTCAACTTTATGATATGTTATGGAATTTTATGTGGCTAACATTCCACGTTCATTGCATATATGTACATTAATACTTTGTAAAATTGTTTTTTCATTTCAGAAATGACTACAGCTTTAAAAGATGGTGAAATATCTCCGAGCTCAAGTTCTTCTTCAGATATTAGTTACGACAAGTTAGAAGAACCTAATTCACCTCAAGAATATCGAAGACTTCCAGTTTGTTTAATTGGTGTAGGAAGTTTAACTTTGACAGCTATTTCTTTAATTTCTGTCGAGAATTTGTTTGGTAACCATGTTATTGGACAACCAACATCCAATAGTTTTCACTACCAATCGAGACGGTTATTGGAATGGAAACAATATGAATCAACAGATTATCCATCTATCGATTCAGATCCTTTAGATGTAAGTTTTTAACTGAAACAATGTAGTTTCCCATTAATATATGATAACATTATTATTTAATATTTCACCTAGCTTTTCCCAACCTTTTTAAAAACAATTCGAGGATAAGCTAATTAGAAGGAGATGGATTATCATAGGTGAAATGGTGAACAGCGCAAACACTTTATTTCTGTCGGTTATTTAGTTTTCTTTATTTCCTTAGTTTGCGTTTTTTATATTTTAAGGAAGACATTTACTGATGTTCCATAGTCATTTAGTTATGGAGTTCAGAAAAAGCATTACTTGTGATTCAGTAAAGATCTCATGTTATTTAGTTTTTTCTTCTTTTCCATTTAATTGGTGAAGTAAATAAAGATATATCAGGTGGCTGAAAACAGCCGATATGGCTTCTTAGCGATCTCAAACCACTTAAACTAGTGGATACATTGCAACTTGATCGGTGAAATTCGGTTATCACTAAAGGCTAAATAAACATGAAATTGGTTGCTATCCTGTGATTGATCAATGCAGAATAATACGACTGTTTACCTCTTTTTGTAATGTGTTCGTAACTAATGTTAGGTAACACAATGTTTCAGTACGGATTGGATTTATACAATTGCTCTGTATGGACAGTTACTTTTGATCCTACAGTCTAACAACTACAACTTTTCGACAGGAGCACAGAAAGTCTGGTCAATATTTCTCAACCATGATGATAGTTTCCATTACAATCACTCATATAAACTGGGGGAACAACTTAAAACCAAGAAACATCTGACAACTGTGTGGTTTTACTTTGAAACTCCTCCACAAAATGTGTGTAAAAAAATCATGCAGAAGAAATCTCAAGGATTCTCAGTTGTTTTGACCAATATAATACCTTTAGACTACTTTGATCAAATGTGATCGTAACAAGATATTGAAAAGCATCTTATATGTGTGGGCCTTATTTTCTGAAGCATAAGTTTTAAAAATAAACACTCCATGTAGTCAAACTGTTCACATTTACGTTGGGAACACAGTTTCCGTAAACATAAATTGTTAAAAAGATGATGTTTATTAGAATTCAGCTGAATATCTGTACGATAGACAAGTATGTAGTGGTAGAGTACAATGGTTGAGGTTAACATTAGTTTACTATTTAATAGTACCTCAGTGACTTGATAAGGATCTACTGTTTACCCTAATCTCATCCTCTTTAATTTTCAGAGCGTTTCCTTTCGATAAGTCCTGTAGCAAAACGAACTCCCTGTACATTGCTACTTAGTTTATTTCGGTGATGTTAACCTAATATCATCATAGCAAAAACAACCTTTGCTCATATAAATGTTTTTCGCTAAATTTTATATTTGTTTTTAACATCATTATTTTGCAATATTAATCTTGTTCTTAAGTTTGTCATTGCGAAACCCTTTTGATGATTTAAAATTTTGTACTTGAGAATAGTATAAAAGAGTATCACTTTTTTGACATATTTACGTAATAATAATCTTAAAAGCTAAATCATTCATCAGATCTGATTTTAGTTTTGATTTTTTTTCACTTTACAGGGCACAACAGTTAAAGTGGGATTTATTCTTGGATGGATTTCTACATGCATGTATCTGGTCTCTCGATTGCCACAATTATATCGTAATGTATGTTTAATTCGGTTTTTTTAAAATCAAATCTTCTACATAAAATTATGCGACACGTATATAAACATTAGTAATTAATCTATATAAGCTGAACTATTTTACTGTTATCCCGAAGGTTGTACATGGGTAGTTTACGTACTTGATTTCCAATCACTGGGTCTTTTGCTTTAGTCAGTCAGATGATGTATTTAGTCCGCATTTAATAAATTATTTCAGAGTCTAGTACACAAACACAGTAAATGAGGTGCATAAATTATATAACAGAATGAGATAAGAAATTTTTACCACTATGAAATTTAAATCAATGGCCCATAAATAATTGATATGATGTTATGTTAGCAAAGCCATATTATTATAACAAGGTACAATTCGGTATGTCTCTCTTATAATGCATCTATAAAAGGGCACACTAAATGTGCTCCAATGCCATTGAGTTGATTTCGATCATAATTCAATTACCCTGCCTCTCAATTTGAACTACTATCTGTAGGTTGTGTAATTGTTCAAATTGGAAACAATAAGAAACATAGAATGTATAAAACTGTATTTTTAAGGTTTTGTGGCAATAGGTTGTTTCAGTTAATTGCCTTATTTATCTCCTGGTTGTATTTTAAGGTAAGAAAAAACAAACTTGTAAGCATCACCTAACTGAAAGAACAAGGTGTTCAGTGAAGCAATATTTAATGCTGTGTTCAGCTTTGAGTTTTTTTATTGCCATTGTAACGGTGTGTTGTTAAAATGAATTATAATTACCATTACAGTTATATAGTTCAATTAGATAGATAGTCTGTTTAAAACTGTGTATGTGAAACTATTAGCTTCCAACTAGAGTCTATTCAAAGTGCAGGGGTCTCAAGAAATGAACTGATTAAAGTTTTTAACATTTAAGCACTGGGTTACAGGTTTGAGACCCCTTGTTCCAGAGCAGGAGGTTTAGTAGTATCACTAAGTTTCACACAAATTGTAGCTATGAGCATTTTACAGGTTGGGATTATCCACTATGTCTTCAGTATTCACTAGGTGTGATATACCCACCATTTTCAGTCATTTTCCCCTTCATTTAATGAACAAGTGCTATACACTAAACTGTAATCTTCATTAAAAGTCTCATTTCAGGGCCCAACTTTAACTATATTTGTATTTTGAATCCAATATGTTGTGCTGCACCATAATGGATATATATATATATATATATATATATATATAATCTTTCCTTGTTTTCGAAGTTTATTAACTTGGACAAATGCACTCCTATTTAAGAAGTTTTTACTTGACTTTTCAACCTTTTTATCTTTCAGTGATCTCGCATAATAAATAAACGCTAGAACGCGCTTATTATTATTATTGTGATTCTAAGTTTAGTATATTTCCTCTGTTCTATAACAATAGTTCGAATGCATCCATTGCACTATATGTGATATGTATGATTGAGAATTTAGTCAGAAACTGCTAGTTTGAAATAATTTAACCCTAAAATTTTAAATAGTTTTATGTTATTAAACATTAGAATGCATAACATTTTTTTAAAACATAAGTTTCTGCGAATTCATTTGTTTTATCCTAGTGGAAACGTAAATCAACTGAAGGATTGTCTATATTCATGTTTTCTATGACTGTTACTGGTAATATTTCATATGGTGGTCAAATTTTACTTACATCTACTGAAAAAAACTTCTTAATCCGAGCTATACCATGGCTTGTTGGAAGTTTTGGTGTAGTGTTGTTAGATGCTTTTGTAAGTTCATCTGTTTTAATTGTTAACTATTAAATTGAATTTAGTACTTTTTAACTATACTCTACAGTTTCACATTTGGTTCGGTTTGTTTATATCTCGTTTAATTAAACTTCTAGAATTCCCTAAGTTATAGTAGGAAATCGTGACCTGTAAAGTTCGACCATATTAGAAGTGACACAGTTACCCAAAAACGATATTAGTTACTTGCCTACTGATCGAAGTTAAAAATGTGGCACATCGAATTTTGTCTCAGTGATCTAAAGGTTACGTGTTCATTGTAAGATTTAAAGGTCTTAGGGGACTGACGAGTTCGATGCTTGGCTGGAACGACTCTCCAATACCCCTTAACTTCTAATGATTGTTTAACTGAAATCAGTTCACTGCGTAAATTAATTTAAAAATTTATATCAACAAATTAACGTGATTGAGTGACAAGGGCAAGTTCTTTAACCCAACCTATCGTGATAGTGAATACTGAGAAGCTTAAACGAAATCTCTGCAGTTGTTAGCATACTTTCCGCTTTGACTTATTTATAAAGAAATACAGGAAAATTATGCTAGGATTAAAGCAACTGATAGATGTTAGCAGCTAAACTGACAGAAAACTTAACTGAATATGGTTTGTAGATACTGAATATTGGAAATTATTTAAAAATCACATATATGTTCGAACAACTACAGTGTGACTGTATGGTGAAGGGAGATTTAGTGGAATACCGCATAATTTTTTACTGAGAATTTCTTGTTGTTACAAAATTTACAGTATTAAATAAACCAAATAACTAGGACGATATGCTTTAATTCAGTGTTAAATATTTTTTTTCAATATATCGCCTGTTTTATTTCTAATTCAGTGTTACATTTGCTCAAGATGTCATTATTTTGTACGAATTTCCTGTGATATTTGTTCATTATAACATTCATAGTTCGTTAGTATAACTTCGGTTTGATATTTCATCATCAAAATAATCATTTACATAATCCTAGTCGAAAATCCATTTTTACTGCCACTATTTCAGTTATATATATGATATTCACTGACTAATCATCGAACAGCGATAAAATTTACAATGAAATAAATATCTTTGATTTAATCAGCTGTCATCGTGTATTAATGATCTTCATTACCATTAATACCTCTACTATCTCTATCAGTTTGGGATTTGATTAGACATTTGCGTCTCTGTGCTAATGTGGTATGGCAACCTGAGCTTTTGTACATACGTACGAAGTTCTACGTTGCAACTGAATGACTGACTGCTGTCATCGTGTTGATGTTGAATAAGCCTTTAATCTGTCATTAGCTTTTTCTTCGTCCCTGTTTATTACAAATATCAGTTTTTACTGTTTTAATTGTTAGTTTTTGCTGTTCTAACACAAATATTAGTACAGTTTAAGTCAAATTATTTCACAAATTTTGATGCATTTAAATAGTTAATAAATTAGTGTGTCTGCGTTATATGATATAATTATTTTATTCATTTGTTTCAGATTCTATGTCAATTCTTTTTTTATAAATCATATCAATACAGAAATAATAACGATAATATTAGTCAAGATCAAAGGAATTTATTAGATACAAACGTCGATCAAGCTGAAACAGTTTAAAATCAGGGTTTTTTTTTTCTCACTGTATGATTATAAAATGTCATATTCAATGATAGTTCCTTTTTTTTCTACAGTATTAAGTACTTTTATGCAAAGTATTACATTTATTTTGTGATTTGTTAAATACATATGTGCTAACTGAAAGAAAATTAGTTATTTTTATATTGATTACTCTATGTTCACTTTTATTTGTTTGTACAGAATCATGTGTATTTGATAATCCTACTGATTTTGTGTTAATTTTTTCTCCTTTTCATATTTGATTTTCATTTCGAACTGTTTAAATAATCACTATTTACTATATTTTTTGTTATCATGATTTTATCAGTTTAAAAATGTTCATTTATGCATAAATATATATATATATTGAATACAAGATGTGTCTAGGTATTTTTCTCTCTGTGTATGTATGTGTACAGTCGCATGTTGATATTACTAGTGACTGTTTGTTATTTACTTATCATTTTACTAAATAATTTGTAGCAATTTCACTAATCATAGACTGGGTCAATGTTTCAAAGTTATCATATTCGTCGTGACACTTGAAAGCTATGTGTGTAATCATGATTGCGGTCGTTTTTTGTGGATTAACAGGAAGTTCCGTACCAAGATAAAATAGCTATCGAGTACTGATTTTAAATAATTAAAACTTTTTCCATTTGTTATTTGATGTATAATTTTAAAAATAGTTATCTTAAAAATTCAGCTATTTCTCTTTTGTAAATTATTTGTAATAACTAGTTTATGTTTGTGTATGTGTGTTGATACTAGACTTTTGAGTTATTATTATCAAGGCACATTTATTGACTTGTTTTTTTTAAACCTATTTAACCTTACTATCATCCAGGCATTACTGGCATCATGTGTAGATATGTCTACAATATTCGTTTTGGTCGGACTCATTGAACACACACAGATAGTATCATTCACTTTCAAGCTATTTTCTTATTACTCTTTGCATCAAATTTTTTGTAGCCTCTAATCTATATTTTTGATAACCAAAAGATAGGTAACTAATATTAAAATCCTGTTTATTTTTTAACTTAGTTGATGGAGCATTAGTTATTTTCTTGAAACCATTCAAAATATGAATTTTACAAGGAACGCATTTTATAGTTTTAACAAAATACTTTCCGGAACGTTGTGATGTCTGTCAACGATGATCTAACTTGGATCGTTTTATGATTTTACTGGTTCCAGAACTGTTTTGGGTAAATGCCTGAGCTAATAGGAAGGAGTGAAATAATGGAGAATCTGAGTCACTTCACTTGGAAGTTTCATCCGACCTGATGGATTCATATCTAACAAAATATTGCCACGGAGTCGGAAAGCTAGGTTGACCTTTCCCAACTTGCATCACTTGTAACTTAGGAGGGCTTTTTTCATTACCAATCAAAGGGAGTGTGTACTACGCAATATTCCACTCTGTTTTACTCTATGTTTGTGAAACATCTTTGAAAGCAGAAAACAGACGTAGGCTACAAGTTTTTGATCACAGATATTCTCAAAGCATTGTTCGTGTTTTGTAGGACGACCTCGTGAGCATGTTGAGGTGAGGTATGAAGTACCAGTCACAGGTGGAAAGTCTATTGATGAGGTTATGAATCTTTATTGACTAAGATGTTTAGGATATGTGTTACGCATGCTTGGTCACCGCTTACCTTGTTGGGCAGTATTTGTTGGTGTAGGCTTAGATTAGAAGAAAGGTTGGGGCTACCAAATCAAGACGTTATACCAGTCCGTGAAGTTATTGACAATTTACCTGAGCTGAGTAGTGCATTAAGATATAGGCTAACAGGTTTGTGTCTGCGCAATAATGGTGACCAGTGGTTGGAGATTTTTAGTGACGTGGTTCGGCTGCATCCATTCTTTGTCGTCTTCCTCTCGATCAAATGTCAGTCATAGTATACAACTTAATACCTTAGAGTTCACAAATGTATGAACTGCAGCTGTCAAATTTTCTAGTCTGCTTATGAGTTATCTAAGATAGAAGTTTCACCTATCAGCCAGATGCGTAACATGATTAGTTGTAGTAATGGTTCTACTAGTGATGAACAGTAACTAAGTTCCTTAAAAGTGCTTGACATATTTCTAACCTTCTGACTTATGGAATATGCAAGATAAATCTTCTGTATGCTCAATAGGACTAAGTGTAATGAACTGCTAATGATTTTTCGATTAGAATATCGTGCCTAGCAATGTTATTTGAATTGACACAACGAACTGTCGGAAAGTATGATAAAGATCATCGTCTATTTATTATGAAGACGTACTAACTGAAGTTATCTGAGTGTTACAAATGGTAATGTGATTATGGAACTTCTTAATGTGCCTTGGTCAGAAAAGTGTTGTCATACTTCAGAATTTGAGAAATATTACTTAATTTATGTATACCATTGTTGTAGTGAACATATCTGAAAGTTGTGCCTTGGTCTTCAGAGTACAATTTTTGCTTTGTCAGCAAAATAGGGTTAACACGTGATTGGTAGAGTAGATCATAAGATCTTAACACAAATAATGCATTTTCTTATTTCAATATCTTGCCATTACTAACTCAATGTTTTTCTTCCACAACTAACTAAGTCAGTCAGAATTTTGGTTTCTCAATAATCAATAGAATATGTATTCAGTGTGCATGTGATACATAACAGATATTTGATACAGATCACTTCGTTTATGCATACAGTTTATGAAATCTTTTTTGTATATTTTACTGATAAAATGAAGTATTCCTACATTTGTTTAATCAACCAAATATTAAAACTTTCATTGTTCTTCTGAACAACACCATCGATCGAGGTTAGCAGAACAAGTTACAGGTCAAACGTGGAGAAATTCGAATGCTTCACTTCTATCTGAAGTTTGTGCTGATGATGTTGTTCAGAAGAACAATGAAAGCTCCACAACCAAAACATCCAGCTCAGAGAACCAAACACCACCACAATCATCCACCTTAGCTACAAATTTTCTCCACCATCTCAAATATTGAAAAAATTATGCTATATATCAGATTTGATCATGTGAACTGGTTAATGCAGTGGATAATGATAGTTGATTTTCTGTAAAAATACGACAGGAATTTTCGAGTTTAAATTCTTTATCTATTAGTAGTCATATGCAAATTCGAGAACTCTACTGTTGTTTTTGAAATTCTAACCTGTATTTGTTACCACAACTGCCATAATTGTTATAATTAAACCATTTAACTAACAAATGATTTCCAGCAGCAGTTGTTTTAGTCTACTAATCTGTCATCTAATACTGACCGATATTCTGTTCATGTTTTCAATGTTGTTCAAAGTTTTTTTTAATTAAATAAAACTTTTTAACTTATTCTTATAAAGTATTATATGACGTGCATTCATAATGGCTTTTCGTTTTAGCGTAGTTTTCAACTAAAATTGATGTACATTTAGTTATTCTTGAAAACACAAATGATTACGTACTTCATTTGAAAAAAAATTAAAATTATCACTTGGTTATGACCCCTTTATCTATATGATACAAAGATACTTGATATAACAGAGGACTAATTAAAAATGTTTCACACAAAATAAGTAAAACAATGTTTCAACAAAATACAAAATAGTAAATAACTGAGAAAATACGAAGGAATATTAAAAGATAAAATTGAAATAATACACAATCAAGATGAATGCAGCTACATAGAAAGGTACATTTTACTGTTTATAAGAAAAAAAACAATGGAAAACAACATCAGGATTACTATTAACTTTTATTTAAAACTTCATTTAATAACATCTTAGTCTACTGAAGTTCATGATTCTTGATATCCTTTACTTGTTTATTTACAAATTTGTGCATTGTTATTCTTCAGCAGTGCGCACCCACGAGTCCTGCACCCCGCAGGATTCGAACCCAGTTTAGCGTTCGCACACAATACCGAAGGTCCTGGGTTCGAATCCGGCGGGGTGCAGGTGTCGTGGATGCGCACTGTTGAAGAGTCCCAGTCCCATACCAGGATGAAACGGCCGTCCAGTGCTTCCAGGTTTCTAATGGTGGTCTAACATTGATCGATTCATGGTTGCAAAAATGTGTAACCTAACAATCTTCGCAACCCCGTAATGTAAATTGTTATTCTCAACAATTTTTTTAGTTTTTAACAATAAATTGATAAATTCAAAGTTATTTATGATATATTTACTTGATTAGTGATATAACTAATGTTGACACAATATACATATGTTACTTTCAGCTTGTGATAAGTTTGTATACAGGCTGAAGGTATGCTGTATCCTACTGGGAAATATTCAAACCAGACCATCGTATATGAGAGAATTCGAAATATATAATCAAGAGAAAAAAGCCAACCGACCACTTAGTAAGTACATAACATTCACTTAAACTCAATTAAAAAAAAGCAACCAATCACAATAAACAATGACACGAATTCGAAATTAAGACAATTTGTCAGTCGAAACTAGAATTGAATAGAGTAAGGTTTTCAACACATTATGTATATATTTAATTATATTAAACTAGAGTGATGAAAGCGAATATATTCTGTTTTTTCTTACACTATCAATGATTTAGGCAATATTAAATGATCATGATGCTTGTGAAGTATGGCGTAGTCGTGATCGTTTATATTCTTCATTAATAGCTTTATTTCCAGCTGCATTAATTGGTAAACCAATTACAGTAACATTATTAGATGAAGTACGTATAACTGGACGTTTATGTTCATGTGATGGATTAATGAATTTACAATTAGATAGTGGTGTTATAATAAGAAAACCAAATTCTGACAGACCGAATGAATTTACTTATGTTGAAGTTAGTTTATTCAATGTTTTTTTTTGTTTTTCATGTTTATTTCTGTCCTTATCTCGTGATTTTTTTATTATATAAAGAATGACTCGTTTTTTTCAAGGATTAAAGTACTTTTCAGCAAAGAAGCTAGCGAAGAAAAGTCGCTTGATAACTTTATTACATGTTTACTTAAGTGATAATTATACGAAAGTACTAGCTCATCAGTACATCTACAGAGATCCCGGATAGAGTATTTAACAAAAAGTGGTATATGAGTAAACAGTTGTTTGCAACTTCGCCATCAAGCTGTACAGTTATAAATCCATAATTGTCATGTTTACAATCACCAACATAAGGCATAGATCAATAAGTTAATTAGATAATACAATGTTATTTATTTGTGTGTTTTTATTTTCCTGTTGTTGATATTGACTAACTATTGAACAGTCTCCTACCGGCAAATGTGTATCCATAGCGGGCTGCCTCTATATTTTCATTAATTCACAAGTATTTAAGTGAAGGTCAACAGCGGCTAGCATTAAGATTCATGATACGCGTTTTGTTCTATTCGGGATTTGTCGGCTGGATGTAACCGGACCCAATAGCTTAGCGGATAAAGCATTAGACATTTAAATCAGTATGTACGAGGCTCAAGTTCTAGTGTGAACATCAAGACCGGGATGCACATACATCTAACTAATGAGTCTGAAATAGGATGTAACGTACGTCTTTGACTCCACTGTTAATCCCTGTCTATTACTTAAACGGTGTTGTATTTAAAAATAGTTATGGTTTAAATATATCCAATGTGTGTCACTTGTAAGTTTGAAAGGTTGTTTAGGCCATTATAATTAATTGGCAGAGTTATCCTTCCTGACTTGGCCTATCGTATATGCATATCGCTAACAATCAAAAAATTGATACTTGTTTTAATTTTAATTATACCCTTGTTTAAATACTTTTCATTATTAGTTTATTTAGAAGTATTGGGGTAAACTTTCATTTCGTTTTTTTTATTCTGACATTAGGACGTAATACTGTACTGAGGTACTACGGTATATTTCGGTACTAAGCTAACTATCGGCTATTAATCAAAGTATGTACTGGGATTCCAATGTTTATACATTCTACTCAACAACTTAAACTAAGGTTGATACAGTGGTGTTTAAACTTGTAACCCTCTGAGTGAAAGCCAGATGTTCCAATCAATAAACTAGCGCTCCATACCAAACTAAATGAATGGTTGATTACGACTAAATAAAAAGTGTAAATTTCACACGTTATTGTCATCACAAACTGATGCCAGTTGTAAAGTTGTTAAAAACTGTGGAGCACTAAACAACCAAATTGATTGCTTTAAAGCACGATATTTGATTTATGTGAAGTCGTGTTTTTACGGTGACTTAGTGAACCATTTAGTATAATAGAAATGTTAACTATTTAAAATCCTGATCTCATACTTCTGAAAAATTATAAACCATAATTTATACATACCTCATGATTCCTTGTACATTATTCTGTATTGTAATTCAGCCATATGAGTTCTATCTTTAATTCTACCTATCTCTCATTTATATGTAACCATTTCGTCCTACATTAAGTTAGTAGACCTTTATTTATCAAATCAGACATTGTTATCAATACAGAAATTTTTCATAGGCGGAAATCAATGAATCTTATAATTCCAATCATCAGATGAAGCAAATGGTTAAACAAAAAGTAGTCATTCTTAATAAGCATTTTGCATACAAAGATAAGAAAATAGTACAGGAATTTGTACGTAGTGTGAAAAAATTACGTTTATTTATTCAGTCGCCTACATAACCTTTGTTTAAACAGACTTATTATAAAATAAATAACATATCAAAGGTCATATTAAGTAAGCATTAACTTAATTAAGTTTTCAAGTGGATGAATTATATATATGGTTCATGAAACAATCTTAACCTAAATTAGTTATAAATGTGGTTTAGACTTAATAATCGAATTTTCATCAAAATGTATTCTCAAACAATGAATTATTATAATATTTATAACTACACTGTAATGAGTGTATCCAAATTTTTCGTGAACTTAAAGTGATATATTTGATCAGAATAATAGTAAGCTTTGAAAATGTGTCACTGGTTGATTGGCGGTTGTATCTAATCTGCTGAAAATACTATTTTCTGAATGACGTTTGTTTTCGCTAGAGTATCTTATTAGATTTTATGTTGGTTCGTTAAATACTAATAGTTACAGTGTATCATTCTTCTGGTGAATGTTTGCAGCTCAGAATGTAAGTGTTGATGTTGAGCTGATTGATCAGCAAGTTTCATTTTATCTATTTAGTTTTACAGTGAACTTTATTGTTTTATGGACGATCAAAATAATCTATTTTGCTGTGGTGAGTTGTTTCCGAGACAAGTTTATATTTCCTGATAATAAGTGTGTGTAGAAGAGAATATTATTTGTTCTTCTTTAAATTGTTTAAAGATTTGATATAAGTTAAGCATTTTTCAGGCATATACACGTTCTCTAAGCTTGAATTTTGGGGCAAAATTATTAGTTGTTAGTATAATTTGGTGACCAATATAATGGATTAATAGAGTAGGGGGTTATATATTCGGTTCTGATTCATACATTCTGGTATGCATGACAATGACACTACTGGAGCTGCTCAAATCCGACTACTAGATGGAAAGCTGTATTCCTGTCTGTAAAAGCGTATTGAAGTTACAAGCTTTAATCACTATGAAGCCTCTATTTTAGTTGACTCTTTTTCCTCGTCGTTTTACAAACTTACACTTGAATTGATTCATAGTTTGATATGGAAATGTTGGCTGGCCACACCGAGGAACGAGAAGCTACTAGACTGAAATATATTTAATTAAATTCGTAAAAGTCAGTCAAATTTATTTGAGACACTGAAAGTTTCATCCTAAGTAGGTTGATATTTTCATGTAGCCAAAAAGCTTAGTGATATAACTGTTGGTAAATGTTAAACCTTCCTTGATACCTAGGTCTATTTTTCTTTGAATTACCGATTGCCAATATATCTATTTTATCTTCCCTTCACATTTCTAGACAATAATGATATTTGGTAAACGTATACGTTATGTCACTGTGCCGAAGTTAGATGATATTTCGTCAACACTTATGCAATGGGAATCTACGAGTCAAAACGGTAAAATATTTATACCTAGACCAACAAAATCATCAAAACCCTTAAAGGAAAATCAGATTGAAACTAATGAGAATGAATTGCGCAAATCAAGCGTAACAAGTGATCATTTTATCGAGAATAATGATGTCGATAACTCCGAGAATATTCCTGTTTTGGAACAATCTGATCTAGAACATTTTGCATCTATTGGTGTGAAGCCAACTGGAGATAAAAAAGTCGATTTAATTATGGCGAAAACATTAAAAGTACTTAATAATCAATTGTAGTAAAATTAAAATTCTTAAGTTAAACCCAACTATTTATGTATAAATACTTTGGGAAGGTACATCTATTTAATAATGTTCAATTTCCTACCGAGTTCTGAGTTGTTGTTGATTGACCTGTATTTTTGTATACACTTTTTTCATTTAAGAATTGAAACTGGGCAAGATTTATAAAATGTCTTAATTTTGCACTTTTCATGTTGCATTTATAACTAGAGAAAATATATTTTTATTTTTGTGTCCATTTTCATTTGATTTTGTTATATGGTAGATTTGGTGTTAGTGCATTATGGTCAGTTAACTTTATAAGTTTATGGACTGAAATTTAATTCTCATTATTATAAGTTAATCTAACTACTAGTTAGTAAACATTTATCTAGGAATTAAAGACCCATTATTATTATTATTATTATTTTTTATTATTATTATTATTATTATTATTATTATTATTATCAGCTTATGAACCGAATCCAGTTTCCTGACTTTCCTAATCATTGTTTTGTGGTTACGTATTTATTATTCGTATTTAATATTCTAGGGAGAACAAAATAGCATGTGATGATAGTAACTACACTTAACACCTTTTATTCGACTAAATATATGATAAGGGAACACAGACCACTTTAAATATACAAGACAGTATCATACAGGAAAGTATGGTTCGGAATTTTTATACCGACAAGAAGTCGCAAAATTAATGTTGTAGGATTTAATTTGTCCTACAGATGTACTTCTAGAACTGTAAACGCAATATTGGCGAGCACAGAGTCTATGGGAAAGCTATAGTCAGAACAAGACCGATTTTTGCTTTAAACTTTATTTGTTTCTAAACATAAAAACAACTAGATTAGTACAATAAATAAGGAAATTACAGTTGGTATTTCGATGTGAGGATTATAGCTGTCAGTTTTTCATCATTTCCAGCGTTTCAATTGATAGTCAAGAGGGTTTCTAAGATATGTATTGTCACTTCTGGTTACGTATGGGGACGTCGTCGTTATTTGTCCGAGTTCAAGGTACCAGTTTAGTTAGGGTTGAAGATTCACAGTATGTTTAAATCTAACTGTATACGAACGCATCTAATAACTTCTGTTTACTTAGGTGGGAAGGAGGTTGTGATGTCCATGTAGGTCATTGACTTATTGTTAGGATATTCATCCAATATCCTAAGTGAATTATTGGTCAATTCCTATTGGTTAATTTCTACTGATCAATTTTATGATCGTCCTAGATATCAGTGTCACGTACTCCAATGTTGTTTCTTATTGGTCGTCTTAACTGTCAATGTCAGAGACTTCGATGCTGTTTCCTATTCAACCTAAATGTATAAATACGCATTATCTGTAACGTTCTAAAACCCGGACCCGGATCCTCAGTCCGGGATCCGTGTCTTCTTCTGGACTCGGACCTCGTACTTTCTGGATGTTTGTAGAATACAGGTTCTACTTCATATCAAGTCTTCTTCTTTCACTCAATGGGGGTTTGGACACTCGGATTAGAGTAGCATGTCGTGTCGCCGGATCCTCGATCGTCGCTGTCGTTTCCCGACTAAGGTGGACTCGCAATAGTTCAAGCATATCAAATTGACGTGTTTGTGTGCATGCGTAACACTTATTGGGATTGAGATTCCTGCTATCACAAAAAGTTAGTGTGTGCCATTTTATATCATGCACCTTTCCATTATATGGCGATAGGGTTCTCATTTCTCTTCTGCTTTCCCTCTGAGGGCTGACAAAATTTAGGAAGAGGATGCTGATTTTCACTAGCATCGATGAGATAACAAACGTTTGTTATTACCTCGGTGATACATGACGCCTATAGTTGTTTCTGAGGGATCAGCTCTGTCCGTAACTTAAGGGATCAACCATACTCCTCACTGACCTTCAGTGTCTCGCTTTGACCTTGGCGGTCTGTCTTCATTTAACCGTAAGTCAGGGAGTTTTTATTCATTCAAGTTCACTCAGACTGCACATAATTAATAAACTGGTTTGTGAAATCTACCTACAGCAAGATTATTCTTACACTATTTTCTCGAGTTAGATTTTTGCATTAGTTACTGCTATCGTGAGAGTTGACATCTACTAGCTCCTTCTACCTCTCAGAATATACAGAAAACTTTCACAATTTTCCTTGGCTAACTAGTGACTGCAACGTCGAGTCCTGATTTAGAACTGTAAAAAAAATTTCCCTCATTTGGATACTTCTGATAGGATTATCTGTGATGGCAAATCATCACGGACAAAAAAGCCACCTTTCTATCATTTAGGTTTCTCTTGATTGTACTGCTGCATTATAATAAGATGAGCCCTCTGGTATGTAAGGTTTTTATGCTAAAATTCTATTTCTTCTATATAAAAGAAACCTTCATCATATTTGTTTTATTTTTTACATTTGCGTTACTGCCTTAATTGATATTATTATACTCAATTTTTATAATCACTCAAAATGCATGTCAACAACGTAGATACTGTTCGCCTGTCTGTTATTGTGTTTAATGTAGTAAGTGTAATGAATAATATCACAAACTTGTATGGGATTTGTTTTTAACTTCGATTATCACATATTCTGCTTATTTTTGCCTGACCATAAATAGTTATTCATCAGTTTGATTCATTTTCACGCCTCTCGATATTGTTTGTCTGTAAAAATGAGTATACAAACTCAATATCGTCGATGTACAAGTGGTGTTAATGGAACTGTAATAAATGGAAATTAATCGGGAAAGTTATTTCCATAGCATAACTAGCTGTTCGCACTTACTGAAAAATGACCCCAGACTACTAAAATTTCCCTGAAACTGTTGATATTTCGCGGGTCTTAGAAGTATTGGTCTATCAAATATATAGGTTTCCGTGTGAAATGAATGGAATTTCTCCTATGGTGATTTTAACATGTTTTGAAGCAATTGTCGGTCGACTTATACAACCACAGTGATTTTAGTTCAGGAGATATTCAACATCGTCAGTAGAGTTGGCGTGGCAGACGAATTAATCGAGATATTTCAAATTACATTCATCTTTACTTACTTAGGATTTGGTAGTCTTCGTAGGTTTTAGTAGGCAGAATGGTGTGAAGAGAGACTATATATGTACTGATTTGTCAATAGTAAGCAAATTGCAATCAGCCACAAGGAATCAAAGGCTTGTGAGAGTGGCTGACAGATTTAATTATCAAACAAAATGTCTTTGGAGTCAGCTTTACACTAGCGCATTCGAAGGGTTTATAGGAAATCGCACTCAGTTTTGAGCGTTGTAATGGCGCGAGTCGCAGTTGACTATGATCAACACTACAGGTCAATTACGTACCAATTACTAGGTACATATTTGTTGACGATCTCGTGATATCGAAGTAATACCGAGATCGTGCAGAAGTTTACAGGCGAGACTCCCGTGCGTACGTGAGAAAGGTCACGAACAACGGAGAATGTGTGTTTTTGGTACAATTAAACAAAAAGATATGGTAAAATAATTGGTACAGTTGGTTACAATAATAAATGTTTCTATTACACCAATCAAGTCCGCGTCATAAAAATAGACCACTATAGGGGCTCCCCACTAGAAAGGGTTTACACTTTTCATTCATGAGACTGGTTGGCATGCATGCGATTGTAGGACGGGAGGGTTGACGAACAGGAAGTGATCATTGATGCTTGAACGGTACCAGGGGTATCATGCCATATTTCTGGCTCCAGTTGGCACACCACACCAGATAGGTTTGTATCCAGAATCTGAAGATCGCGTTCGTTGGGGTCTGGACCAGAAAACGCAGCAGATGTAGGACGGAACCACATTGAACCATGAAAACAGAAATCATCATAACAACTAGGTTCGAAACCATAAGTATGTTATATATTAGGAACCAAAAACTGGACTGAGTATACTGACGAGAGTATGGGCGATCAGGTCAGCTTTCGCCAAGACTGACCGAAATTGACGGTAACAACAGGCGATGGTCGTGGACATGAGCTCAGGATACAAAATGAAAGAAAAAGAGAAGGGTGCAGCTTGCATGTAGGGTGAGGATAGTGTCCTATCGTGTATCCGTTTTTGCCTGGGTGGTTATTCGAGGAAACGTACGGGTTGGCGTACGTAGCGACCGGAATGCGAGACAGTAGTCGTGTGCTCTAAGAACACTTTTAAGTTGGCAGTGGAACCTTTCAGCTAAACCATTTGATGCTGGGTGGTAGGCGGTAGTGTGTATTCGTTCCATAGCAAGCAGCCAGGTTAGCTTGGGGAACAATTCGGAGTCGAATAGTTGCCCTCGGTCAGTTGTGACAGTCGAGGGACAACCGTAATGCGCTACCCATCGTTCGACGAAGCGATGAGCAACTGTTTCCGCCTTAATAGAAGTGATGGGAATAGCTTTGGGCCAGCTTGTGAGACGCTTGATGTACGTGAGTATGTGATCATACCCATGCGATGGTGGCAATGGTCCTAAAATGACAATATAAACATGGTCGAAGCTCGCATCATGCGTAGCAAATGTGCCGGTAGGGGCGGCTACGTGCCTGTGCACTTTTTATCGTTGAAATTGTAAGCATTGCTTTACCCACATACGAAAACCTTTATTCATGGACGGCTAGACGCATCGTTCAGTGATGAGACGTAATGTGGCTGGGATTCCTCGATGAGGCAATCCATGAAGGGCATCGAAGATGAGACGACGATGAGCAGAGGGTACAATGCGCCGGGGTAAACCAGTAGAGTTGTCACACAGGATAATACCTGAGGTGGTAGCTAGTGGTACTTCCTGGCACTGAAGGAATATAGATTGTGGTGCTTCTGTACAGGAGGGATCATATGCTCGGGGAGCGGCCATGGCAAGAAGATCAAACACCGGTAAAAGACTGAATTCACTTGGATACATGACAAAGCACTGGAAACATAGTTTGACTCGTCTTTAATATGACGAAGGTCTGTCGTGAACTGAGAGATGTAGTCCAAATGTCTAGACTCTCGTGGTGATTAGCGGTCAGACTTGGTATGTAGAGCTTACGTTGGAGGCTTATGATCGGTGAAAAGGATAAAATTACGACCTTCTACTGAGTTCTGGAAATGTTTAATGGCACAGTAGGCTGGAAGCAGTTCGCGACCAAAAGCGCTATATCTCGTCTCAGTGGGAGTAAGGCGTCGTGAGAAAAATTCAACAGGTTGCCAACTTCCGGAGATCTTCTGTTGCATAAGGCTACTATAGCGAACTTCGATGCACCAACCGCTATACTAAGTGTGGCTGAAGGGTCAGGATGGGCGAGAAGAGTGGCTTCAGCTGAAGTTTTTTTAATCTCAGAAAACGCAGTACGCGCAGCATTGTTTAATTCTAATTTACATGGATTACCGCGATGTTAGTCGATTAGTGATCGTAACTGTTCTGCCTCGCGAGGAATAAAACGTCGGTAGAAGTTAACCAAACCGGGAAAAGCCTTCAGTCCCGTGAGTGAGGACGGTACAGCGTACTCCATGATTGCACGTACTTTGTCATCAGAAGGTAAAATACCCTCATGCTTAATGATGTGACCCAAAGATTTTATTTCTACTTTTCCCTGTTCACACTTGTCTGGGTCAACTACTATTCCATTATCCGAAAAGCGTTAGAATAAAAGCGTAAGATGTTGATAATGTTCATCTACGTTTGATGATTCGATTAGCAGGTCATAAATACAGACGTGAACAAAAGCAAAGTCTCGTACTATGCTATTGATAAACCACTGGAAAGTTTGAGCAGCATTCCGTAATCCAAATGGCATTGGTAGGAACTCAAAAAGACCGATATGAGTCGTGATAACAGTTTACTCAATATCTTCAAGAGCGACTGGGATCTGATGATATGATATGATACCAGATCGATTTTAGAACAAATAGTCGTGCCCTTGAGTGGTGCCGTGATGTCGTGTATGTGTGAGATGGGATAGTTTTCGAAACGAGTAGCTACGTTTAATGCTCGATAGTCGCCACATGGTTTCCAACTTATCCCATCCTTTTTGCTAACCATATGGAGTGGTGAGGCTCCAAAACTGCAAGAAGGACGAATAATAGCTGTAGCTGGTAAACTGTCGCACTTACGTTGAGCGAAAGCCATTTTGTCCGGTGCCAGTCGGCGAGGTCGTGTAGTGACTGGGTTGGGCGGATGACGATGTGGTGTACCTCATGATGAGTCACCGAGGCGTGGAAAATTTTATCATGCGAATGAAATACCCCTTTGATACGTCACGTACCTTTTTGGGCTCGAAAGCCCATGAATCTGCTGTTCGACGAAGTATCGATTAGCTGCAGCCTACGTGAATCAACTAGCAATTCATGGTGCTGTGAGAAATGGATACCGAAAATGGATGTAGGAACATCGGCAGATACTATCGTCGGTTGCTGAAATTGACCGTCAGCTGTGGTGTTCCATAGGTAGGTATGGCAGCCTTTCGGAGCGCGTATTCGAAGCATTATGGGTTGTGTTTTGCTGCTTCCAAGTGGTACGACAGAAACTTGGGCACCTGTGTCAACGAGGTACCTAGCGTTGGTGCGGGTATCGTGTACCCAAAATGGGTGTCCAACCCGTGGTGAGGAGCCGACGAGTACGGAAGTTCCCCGCCTTGTATGAGCAGGGGGCTCGACAATGACGGGCACCTGACCTAAACGTCTGGTGGAACTAGCACCAATCGGTAATCGCCTCCAAAGCCGCCTCTGGGCGCGGCTTGGAAGATGCCCGCTGGGGGGCGGGTACAAGCAGCCTTTCCAAATAGTGATCGGGCTCGGGGGGGGGTTTGGTTCTGAAACGGAAGAACGATCTTGAGAGTTGAGATGGCTGTGGATACAGCAACCCCGGTCTCACTGGGCCTGAGGGTGATTAGCGATGAGGTCAACGTTTGTGTGTGACGTAGAGGCAACTATGTAGTTGTCTCGCGAGCTATCCAGCGCTACTATTTTGTCTCCTATGAGGGTGGTCTGGTAAAGTGGCGCGTCCTCGAGCAAAGCCGTGATCGTAGGCTGTAAGTGTGTTGGTTATGCTTCGAGTAACTATTCCCTGACTATGTTAGAGTCGGCTGTCGTGGGTCCTGCGAAGGATTGCAGGCTCGTGAGGTGGTGGCTCAGTGTAGCATCATCAAGGGAGTGACCTGCTGATAATGTTCTCAACCGTTCCTTTATCGATGGGAGGAAATGTCTGGGAATCGCCTGTTTAAGACGATCGTAAACATCAGGCACTGTAGGTTTGAGAACCACATCAAGGACTGCGGCTTTGTGGTCCCCAGGAAGAGACTACAGGACGTAGGCAAACTAGTTCGTAATTCGGCGGATCCCAAACTGAGATTCCAGTGCTGCGAACCAGACCTCTGAGTCGTGCGGAATAAAAACGATTGGCCGCAAATTAAGGACCTGTATTTAGAAGTCTGCTAGGTTATCGTCGTTTTTGGGTCTATCCACTATTTTGAAACGCTGTAGTAGGTATATATAAGAAAATATCGATATATATTATACAACAGTTCTAACAGTAAGAAAAGTGGATAGAAAAATGACAGACTCACTGTATTTGATGCATGCTCGTAGTTGTCGCTTACCAATTATAGTGAGGTGATATTTGTTACCAAGTTAAATCCTGATAAATCCAGAAGTCGAAGGGAAGACTGTTGTGGATGAAGAAGCATATTTGTCATTGGCCTCGTGATATCGAAATAATATCAAGACTAGAATAAATAATCGGCTAACAAACACCAAAGAGAGAAGCAGAATAGGGATGACACGCTTTGTGTGCGAGGGTTAGTCTTTAGTACAGTTAAACAAAAGGAGTACAATAGAACAATTATTGTTAGAATTAAGTACAATAATAAATGTTTCTATTTCAGTAATTGTGTTATCTTCTTAAAAGTATACCACTACACTACCATGATCATCCACCTGAGCTACAAATTTTCTTCACCGTCTCAAAATACTAGGAATTAAAAGGGAAGACAAAGTGAAACGGATTCTTCTACTCCTTAGAAGTATCAAATTTGAAATTCAGTGCCATTTGAACTGTTTCAAAAAACTTTGCCTGGAGACCTTTAACATGTTAGCTGGTAAATTCATGCATACTTTGGACAGAATCTTTCGCCCGCTAGACCTAGGTTCTTACCTGGAGGCGACTGTTATTAAAGGTCACTTGATACGAAAACCTGTTTAGCAAAAGCTTCCAGAATTCAGTTCACGACCATTTAAGCAATTCGAACATGTTGACAGTTTAGATATTCTGAACAATATGTAAAGGAATAAACTTTAACAAGATCAAATTATGTATTCAGGCTTATCACAGTATTTGGACACTGCACTAGCATTAGTGCAGTCAAGTAGCTAAATCACCATCAATTTGAAACTATCGAATACCTGGAACCGTACCGAAAGAACGAAAATGTAGCGTAAAAAAATCTATTGGTTTGTACTAGGTAGTAAAAGAGATTTTGGATATTGGAAAGGTTACAACGCGGTATTATTCGTTTTTAACGCTACTTTTCGGTGGCAGTCCCTGTGTCATAGAGACAATTTAGCTCACTCTCTCTTATATCTACAGTTAATTTTTTTCGTGGTTTCGTTTGATAATTTATCATGGATTTTCAATCAAAGATCTATAGACCTATTGAAAGAGTTCAAGTTGAAGGAAAAGTGTTTCTAAAAATGATTAAACATTATGAAGAGGAATCTGTATCTAGCATAAATTTTGTCAATGGTGTGTTGTTAGGACTTGCTCAAGGCAGTCAGCTTGAAATTACCAATTGTTTCCCACTGCCTAAAACACAAGACGATGATTCAAATGCTAATGAAGCACTGGTCGTGTATGAGGCTAATATGATCCGTAATTTGAGACAAGTAAGTCCCAAATAATCGTGAAAAACTTTTAGCTGCAAATGGATTACCTCAACGTAGGATTTTATCAAGCTGGTCCTGGGGGAGTTTCAATCAACCGTGCAAACATTGAAAATATTTATCAACGTCAGAGCAACCTTCCCGAATCTGTTTTGCTCACTTACGACCCAACAAGAACTAGCAGAGGCCAGATTGGTCTGAAGGCTTACCGTCTGTCTGACGACGTCCTTGCGGCAAGATCAGAAGCTGAAGATCGTTTTCGTCTGATGGGGCACAAGGTTTGTCCATTTTTCATAATGCATTCCTAGTTTTCACGTATTTAACAATTATTTTCTAAGAAACTTGTCAAGATTGATTAAAAACTGTATTATTTGTGTGATGACACCATCCATCCACAAATCATTTACTGTTCTAAAATGTCCCTAAGTATATAGGAGTGGACTAATGTAATAATTTCTTAGTTAGACCCTTAGAAGTAATGAATATGGACGACTTTGGACTGCCTTTTGGCTAAAAAAAGATGGCTTTTGACTATGTTTCTTTCTATTACGAAAAAGTGATGCAGCCAATACTATTAAGTTGATAACGTAAATGACGAATTCATATGCGTGAATCGCATATTTTCTTCACGAACTGACATCAACTGTAATGCAATAATGAGTTTCACGGTCAGATCTGATTCTTTCGTCCATACATTTTACTCCCGTTTATTTATTTACTTCAAACTAAGATTGGTAAAAGCAGTCACCAAAATATGTATGCGTCACAATAAAAATGAAGTTCTAAAGAGGTAGAGAAATAACGGTGAGTACAACAAAAACGAATAGAAATTAGTATATGAGTGAAATAATAGTAATAGTAATGGAAGAAACAGTTCAGTTAGGGGAAATACAATCATGAAAAATTACTTCGGTTAAAGACATTACTCTTGCTTATGTGAAGAAAATGAAAGTTACAGCCGGACCACCACTGGCTTTTATTTTGAATCATGTATGGTGTAGCCCACACAAAGTCACGAGACGTCAGAAAAAGGCTCAATTTTTCTACTAATAGCAATATTACGAATATATTGGTTAATACTATTGAAAATACTTGATATTCAACTTAAGATCATCAAGCCGAGTACTTTTGAGGTTAGTGTTACTACTTTTAGGCAAGAAAGTTGTGACGTCTTTCTAAATCAACACAGCTTAATCGGATCACCAAACTATGGTAGACCGACTGGAGCGTCAAGGTAACAGCTGGGACTAGGTATCTTTCCTACAAACTTGCATACGATATGCTCTGTGCTATGTACCTGCTGTTGGTCACTGGCCACCATGAAATTACATCTGACGTTGCTGCACTGTCTTGTGGACCATTATTTCACTCTCATATACTAATTTCTATTCGTTTTTGTTGTACTCACCGTTACTTCTCTAACTCTTTAGAACCTCATTTTTATTGTGGCGCATATATATATTTTGGTGCCTACTTGTATCAGTACTTACGTTTTGGATACTAAGTAGTAATAATACTTCAGAGAATAAAACAACTAGCATACACATCCACAAAACGTCCGCAAAAGTTGATTTTTCAACCGCAACCAGTTATCTTTTGCATTGGGTTCACGCTTTAGATCATCAAAACTATTCCTACTTCAGTTCCCTTTTCAAATCACGGTAAACTATCCTTCCGCAATGTGTAAGACTATGAAGTAACATCTGCCCCTACTATATATTGGAGCTTTTAGTGTCCAAACCATATGTTAGGTTGTGCAAAAGGTGTAACTGGCTATGACCCTAAGATATATCTTAAGTATATGTTATATCTCCGAACCACATACAACACCGTAGCATAGTCATTCTCTTGATCTCATCTTGTCTTCGAAGCATTGCTCCTGTTCCATGAAACGACTAAGCGAATGTCAAGGTTAGGTATAGAGTACTATGCTACGATGGAAATTCGGTGGTTTATCTTATAAATCCCTATATATTGAAATGGTTAGGATATGTGTATTGTATATCTAACCACTGTCTACCTCAACGAGCGATGTTTACTGGTGTAGGAGTAGGTGGAGAACGTGCCAAATGAAAGGACTGTATCAGTACGTGAAGTTGTTGATTGTTGATCGGAGCAGTGTAGGTAGATGTAGAATACCAGGCTCGTGTCTGTGCACTAATGACAATAAGTGATCAGAGACTTTTAGTGACATGACTCAGAATTGTTTACAATGGTGCAAACGTATTCACTCTGTCTTCCACTGTTGAAGTTCAATGTTTTTTTCACACTGTATTCTAAGTTGATTCGCAATAATTAGTATTTGTCTTCGCTACTATACTATTTTGACCTTTTAGCATTATTTTATTCATTATTATTATTTACTCTTGTTACCCCAAACGGAGCATAGGTTACCGACCAGTATTCTCCAACCTACTTTATCCTGGTCCTTCCTTTCCAGTTCCGTCCAATTTTTGTTCATCCTTCCCATTTCTGTCTCCGTTTCTGGGTGTAGTATGTTCCGTAGCCTTCCTCTTTCCCTTTATCCTTGAGGATTCCAAGTGAGGGCCTGTCTTGTGACGCAGTTGAGTGCTTTCCGCAATGTGTGTTCTATATACTTCCAGCGCTTCTTCCTGATTTCCTCCTCCGCTGAAATCTGGCTTGTTCTCTCCCACAGTAGGTTGTTGCTGATGATGTCTGGCCAAGGGATCCAAAGTATTTTGAGTAGATAACTGTTAATAAATACTTGGATCTCGTGGATGATGGCTGTGGTAGTTGTCCAAGTTTTCGCTCCATACAGTAAGACTGTTTTGACATTTGTGTCGAGCATTGTGACTTTGGTTTTTTTTTGATAGTAGTTTTGAGGTTCAAAAGATGCTCAGCCGTAAAAATGCAGCCCTTGCTTTGCCGATCCGCGCCTTCACATCTGCATCGGATCCACCTGGCTCATCACTGATGCTGCCCAGATATGTAAAGGTTTTTACATCCTCCAGGGCATCTCCGTCAAGTGTGATTTGGTTGACCTTTTAGCATACATCTTGATAATTTTATGTCATGTTATCAGTTTAGCGTAGGAGCTAGGGTTAACTTGCATTTGTATTAGACTCAATGTCGGTGATAGGTGACTGATTAAAAACGGTTTAAAACGCTGAAAATGTGTCATTTTCTTTAGGGTTGCAATTATACGTTGCTGTTGACTTCAAAAAGACACGAAACTTAGGCTCCAAAATTTCCACCGACCATTGTCCATTAGGTTATGGTACATCTCATTATTGTGTCACTCAAATGGTAAGCAGTTATTTCCAAACTACTTTTTATGTTCCGACCGAAACTTCATACTCAACTAGACAGGGTTAAGATGATTTGAAATAATATCGGTTGTTAGACAAACCTTATTATTGCATTAGACATATCTTTAGTATGACGTTGGGGGATGTTGAAAACTTTGAAAATCATTTAGATTTTTTTGATAATACTCTGATAACGTTTACTTTATTATTTTTATTGTAGGGTCCAGAGGTCCCATGGGAATGTGTAAGTTTATAAATAAATAACTTGGCTTACTTTTATGATATATTTTTTAGTTTTGGTATGGTTATCACTTATCATTCCTTATAGTATCAAGTCACTTGCTTGGTTAATTTCTTGAAAACTACTGTGGGAAAAGTTATCATATTTTGTGCTATATATATAATGAAAGTTCTTAGTGAATCATATCCGCTTTATAGCTTGCATAGCGTAAACTAACAGCCTCAGGTTCTGCATGCACAAATTTAAAGATATCCATTAATTGTTATTTATGTAATATTTATTAAGCCATTGCACTGAATGTTTAGTTGTATGTTTCCTGAATTTGTTCCTCATAAAGAATAATTCCTTTTATTATATTCTGTTGAATGATAGCTCACGTGTAGGATATTGAATTGGATTTTCAAATATCGATTGTGTGTGACTAGTGCAAACAGCTAGACTATAGTTAATCAGAATCATAATACATAATAAGTCTGACATTATGAGTAAAGCGAACAGCATTTAGCTGATTTGGGACCTACTGAGTTAGGCGGCAGTTATCAATATTTTGATAGTAGTCATCTGTCTACTTGTAAACATAAGCTTGTTTCTGAATGTTTCAATATTAATAACGCCTATTTTTAGTCCAACTTGAAAAATTCACCTTGGTGTAAATATGCCTAATGCATGATTTTCTCATGTTGAAAAATTTTCACTCCTAGGAAGCGGCAAGCAGTGTGGGTCGCAGCAGTTTTACTCGTGTCCTAGAAGAGATACCAGTTGTAATCCATAATTCACATCTTGTAAACATCCTTTTGACTGAAATTGTTGATAATCAAGAACTATCACGGTCAGAGCTTTCTACAAATTCATCAATGCTAGATCTGGCCCCACCGCTTCCAAAAGACCATCCTGGTCGTTACTCTACTCTCAATCTAAGCATGGCTTCGAGTTTGGAACAACAACTACGTTCTCTTCTTGCTGGTTTAGAAACAGTACATGATTATCAGTATTCATATCAACGTAGTCTATCGAAATCTCAGACTGCGGTCGTTGGCAAGGTTAGTCAATAAAGTTTACTACTTAATTTATGTTCTTAACAAACGAAGTGATTATGAAATACCACAAGAGAAGACGAATTGCTTTCCCCGAAGTGGTTAATTTTTGGCAAGTCATAGTACAACAGTTAGGAGATAACCAAATATGGAATCATAACAAATTTTGTGAGCGATGTTTCACGTGAAGATTGTCCGTAATGTTCAGTAACTTAAATTAGAATACTAAGACCAATAACATAGCAATATGCTAATACATCTTATCTGTTTTCAACTTCCATTTATCAACTTAGTGTATCATAAATTGCAAACAATTCTGCCGATTTTGTGAACACTAACTGCTGTAATCCTCTTCATCTAGATGACTGTTGTTCAATTATATATTGTTCAGTCATAATTTTTTCGTTCCTCTATTATTTATAAATTTTATTTTTATAATGGTTCTTATTTATGATTACTTTTGGAATTTTCTCTTTATTTTACACAAGACTGCAACAGAAACACGTAATCGGGAGTTGGCTCCAATACGTTTGGATACTGCATTAGTTTCAGCTCAGCTTGATTTCTACTGCAATAGTCTTGCTCAAATGGCTGGTCAAACAATAGGCAAATTAATGTTAACACAAGCTGTGCAAAAAACAAGTTCATCTGGAGCTTCCAAATCTCAAAAAATTTAAACAATATAAAAATATTGCGAATCATCTTTGTATAACATGATAAAGATAAAATATTGCATGTAAATCTTTGTCTTAATATGTGATGATTTCTCATTTGATCTTATTGAAAAGTCTTGTCGTTTATTTCGCTTACAGTTTTATTAGATTGTTTGTAAATAAGTTAGTCACAGTAACATGAGTAACTTAAAAGAATGCTTCATTCCGAACTTAATAAAAAGCTATCTTTCCACTCAACTACGTAAATTGTTATCTCTTAATGTCTATTTCATACACACTTTTCTACAGGTCTAACATTACACATTGTCCATATTTCTACAATTTGTCTTTATTTCATCTATTCATTGTTGGTTGATTGTAAAACGAATAACATGAACCTTAATATATTGGATTATATTTAAACGATTTCTTAGATATTCATTTGCTTCAGTAGCTTTACTACTTTCAAACTGCGAGAGTCTTTCGTACTATCGTTAATTTCAGCCTTGTTTTAGATATGTTTTATTAGGGACTTTGATCAATATTCATTCCTACTCAGAAGATCACTGGTAACTAGTTTCAAGTGCATAAATCGAGCAGTTAACCATGTTTCATTTATATTATAGTGGAGCATAACTCATAAGTAGGTATACTAGCCTGAGGACGTCGATTGCTATCAAAACTTATTCTTCCATCTAATGTCCGTTAGGTATCCAGAACTGGAATGTTATCACTGTTTTCCACTTGTCTCAAAAGCTGTTATTGAGTTACTTTTCCGTATTCGTTTCCTTCTTCTGTAGGAATTGAATGTGCAATCATTATAGGTTTTTCTGTTTTCGTAATAAAAGTTCTATGTAATGCACCCTTATTCATTGTCTTATTTTTCATGGGATACTGTATCCTAATGCCTAGTAGGACTGACCTTTACTGAATAATTAAAGATTCTTTCTCAGTTAGTATCATAAAAAGTATCGAATTTCTTTTCACGATTCTACGAAAGTCGAAGAAGCATTCTGTTCCTCCCTGTTTAGTATAATAGTTAGTCAGTAAGTAAACAGACTAGATATTCACCTTTATTGTTCTTGGAATTTAGAGATAGTCTACTTTTCCCCTCACTTGGTTCATTATTTTAGATAATGGCTTATACAGGTTATGAGACATCTTAACATTGACTACAGTACCGGTTCATTTAATTCAGTTGTCATATCTCTTTAGTCGATAACTTTAGTGTTATAGTTTGCCATACGTTGTTATTTTTTAGATTGATTGTGCAATCAATGAAAAAAAACTGAAAACTCTTTTCAAATGAATTCACATCTTGAAATTGAAAAATAATTGTCAAAAATAAAATAATCAAAATCATAGTCCTAGATATCAGGATAATAATATCTAGAAATAATGTTTATTTTTTTTTTCTGGCTAATAGAATAAACTTCAAAAACAACTATCTCAGATTTAAACAAACATTAAATCTCCATTCGGATCATAGATTGGCTTATATTTATTGTAAAGATTTCTCAGTTCGTCGAGGTATAATCCTTTAAGCATTGATATTTGTTCTCTTGTTGGATTCGGATTCTTTTCACATGGTATCGGTCGTCCAACTGCCAGGGAAAAGGATATTCAAAAGAGATTAAGGTTACTATTTTTACAGCTAATCCAGGATTTTAAACTTGTATTTGTATAGTCTTAGAGTTCAACTTGTATTTGTATTATAAGTGGATTTTAGCATCTTTCAAGTTACTAATCGTGTTTTTTATCGGAGGAATTTTAAAACTTATTTATTTCGCTATCCTTTCAGAATTCTTTGTAAACATAATGTAAGACTAGTGATTTTACAACACGTTAGATCGCTAACTAGATTCCGGTTTTGCTACATTCTACGAAGTTGGCTTGTTAATCGTTAAGTTATACTGATAGAATCTGTGTCGACAGTAATTAAGTGCAACTTAGGTACTCAGTAACTTTCTGCATGAAAACTAGTGGTAGAATATGAAGTAGGTGGATCAACCCAGTTATTGAAAGATAAGTACATTAACCAATGGGCCATTATTTTGCGTAGTCCTCATGTTGATTGTGATGAAATCAAAACACGTCTAGATGCGAACGAGGTAACATGTAAACATCGTTTTTTCCTCACAAGTATAAAATAATCTGCTGCGCTAAGGTGATTGGTCATTTTTGGAGTAACTTCAGCTGTGGAGTACGTCACAAGACAAGCCCTCACCTGGAATCCTCGAGGTCAAAGGAGAAGAGGAAAGTCTGAGCACTCACTTTGTAAATTGCACATTCGTTTTCTATTTGCTATTTAGATTTGGTTCGTTCTCATTACTCCTCTCCGTAAAATCGCGTATTTTAAATGTCTTCACATCATAAAAAATTGTTAGAACAGCGGTATTCTAATTATCTAATGAAATGAAGTCATACGGGATAATTTCTGAGTAGGATCAGATCATGAAACTGAACATCGGACGACAGAATCTTAGCGGATTGCAACTGCAGACGACAGATATATGGGATGTAGTCTGTAATACGATTAGTGGTATTCAAAATATTTCTCAAATCAAAATACTGATCATCAATTAAACTCCACCTCATATTGTGCTAAATTTAGAAGTGCATACAGATGCTGAAATTCATTACTAATATTTTTTTCAATAAAACTTAATTAATCATAATATTTGAAGGTGATCCTTTGAACATTTATTATAAGTTACAAGTAATAACTTACAAATAAGTAATCCATTATTATCATCGGTATGGATTTGGGTAACGGTTGAAATTAGTGTCAACTTCGGTACAATTTTCAAGTGCTAATAGTAGTTAAATTCATAATATTTCCTGATTATTCTTATGTCAATTAGCACATTTGAGGGCGAAATCGAATATATGTATAATTCTAAGCTATAATTGTTGCTCAAGTTCACCCTGCATTGAGATTATCCTCATTAAGCTGTTTGATTGTTTAATTTATCCAAGGTTAGTAATGGTGTTGAATAAACTTTCCTGTGACCCCCTGCATTATTTTATTTCGTGACATCAAAAGTTTTTTTAATCATACATTTGTTGAACTTACTGACTGTGTTTACATCTGTCCGATAAGGTAGTAAAAACCGAGCATAAAAGAATGGAGTTGAGAAAGTTGCCATTTCGGTAAATCGATTTTGTAAGTTTCTTATGCAACTCCCTTCAGGATTATACACTTGTCTAAACATATTTGGTTCACCAAACGATACACACGGTACTAAGTGTGACCTAAACAAAATCATAGAAATAAGACATTTCAATAGTTAGATGGTCTGGTGCATTCAGAACAGGGAAATAATTCATATTACAATTATTGGGCTTTCTCATTAGGTGAGTTTTATATGTCTCCAATAAACCTTTACGTTGTCTATAATGACATCAGTAGTTGTTTTAAACCAAACTATAAATGAAAATATTTCAAAAACCACTACTCTTCTCAAGTAATACCTTGTCACTAAACACTAATATTAAGTAATGTTTTTAATAGTAAGCAGATTGTATAAATCAACTTGCACTAGGTTATGTGACACTCTGGGCACTTTGTCTGGTGTTGAACAGCTGTAAATGATATGATTTGCTTTCTTTCTAATTAAAATATACTGTCTTTATTCATTCAACTGTTATTACACCCGTTTTACATGCAAATATCCTTTGTAAACCCCTTGATCAAACAAATTATGGAATTTGTGATTATAAACTGCTGTTTTTAAGGTAAATACAAGGATGTCAACTAGATTGAAAGACAGTCAATCTATCTTAGTAACTGCTAAGGTTGAAAAGCAACCAGATTCAGCAACTTAAAAATCAAATGATGTTCAACGAAAGATGGAGAACGAGTCACAACTATCAAAACGTATTCGGCAGCTAAATAGTGTAGTTTGATTCTCGATGTTTCACAGCCAGGTTCATATGTCGTACAAAACAGGTAGCTATAACAAATTTGACACTCACATCAGTCATCTCTACCTACGTTCTTAATGTCTTAGTATTCATTTCGTCACAAGGTTAGCAATATTTTGTTTTGGTTACCTTGTTTAGTGTATTGTGTGAGCAAAGATTCATAACTCGAATAATAGTATTTCGATGTAGATGCTAGCAAAAGACTTTGGTTTACGAGCACTGATACGAATGGATAAAAATGTTTACAACACCACTAATAAGTACATTATCGACAGATGGCAATATCTTTTGAATATTTCTTATTTTATAAAGATTTGTTGGAATGGTCAATAATTTAACTTCTTAAAATAAAGTTTGAATAGTGTTCATTATTATCAGTTTGTAGATTACAGAGAATAACCCGTTAAAATGCTTACCCAGTCATTAATGCCAGCTTGAAAAAGCCATATCGTCGATTAGTATGGAAGACATACTTTCCAGGACGTGAATCTAATGCTTCAGGAGCACCACCCAAAACAACGACAACGAAATTTCCTGTTTTCCCACATTGTTGAGGATCAAGAAGGTAAGAAATCCCTTTGTATGTTGCTGCTATAAGATCTGAATAATTAAAAAAGTGTTAACCAGTTAATTGGTCTGAATAATTAAATAATATGCATCATGAGGGAATTCAGTATAAAATGAAGTCCACTTTGAAGGACATGAAAGATATAAGTAAACAATCTAACTTCATTTGATATATTTCTTGACCTTAGGATCCATAACAGCGAATAATAAGTGATATTTTATTTTAATTTACTTCTAATTACTGTAGTTAAGCTTTTGTTTGAGAAAATATAATAAAGCATATAAAATGAATTCACTTTTATATCTGTGATGGAAACTATTTCCTCCAATTAAATTGTTATTTAAAAATTATACTACTTACAAATTAATAGTAGTATTATCAAATACCTAAAAAAGTCACTGCTACGGTTTAACTTTCATATTTTAGGTCGAGAAAGGCGTATGTTAAAACAGATAATATCTATGTTTACCGAGTGCTTTTCCATAGTTTCCAGAGTGTGTGCTATATATGGACATATTACTGATCTATTAGTGATATTAATGCTATTTGCTATACTCTGCCAATCAGAAGTGACCCAAGGAGAGTGCCATTAGATGACCATCACAAAATGTCCTAAAAAACGAATGCATATCATTGATTATTAACCGACTTTAATTTCTAAGGGGGTTAATACATATACCTAGAAGAGTATTTGTTCAGGTTATTTGGTAGTTGAATTGATCTTGTCTTCTGCCGTTTTCCTTGTTGCTCAAGCGGCTAGTTTTAGGCAGGCGTTAGAACTTGACACTTCCAGATCACAATACCGCGCATCATGGGGATATACATAAACTCTCATCATAATCTGTGGGTACAGTTTCAATAAAATTGATCGTTGAGCATTTGAACGACTACAGACATAAAATTGTATTTGTTAAAACGTCAAAACTTGAAATTTGATTTAGTCAAAAGTTTGGTCTGATTACTTTATTCACTTGAGTGAAATTCAAAGATGTGATTCCAAAATAAGAATATTTCAGTTAAGTCTTCGAAAACAAATACTGTAAGAGTTTGCTATAGAAATGATCATAACACCTAGACATCTGAAATTATCTGAGAAGAAGAAAACGTTCTTGAAATATATTCTATCAGAACAGAATGCTAAGTTAACTTCAGTTTAATAGACATTTTTCTGGATGTTTTTTTACATAGATTTACAGTAAAATCCTTACGATAAGAGTAAATCCTAAAAATCTGCATTGATTGGTTTGAGAACAGTTAGCTGACTGCTATATCCAATGTAATCTAAAGATCACAAGATTTTACAAAACATACTTCTGTTCATTTAGTTGATTTATATGTTGAGATATATTACCTCAAATACTTAACTATTGGGTGTAGTCCCGTTGAAAATCATAGAATCTCTGTTTCAAATATATTAATTTGATATATTTCTTTGTGTCAATACATCTGCCTGATGAATCCAAAATGGTGGTAAACATACGTTTAGAATGCCAGTGTATAATGAAACTGTGAGTCTAGATATAATTATTATTATGATCCATTTTTCTTTTAAAACAATTATATTTTTATTTAAAAATAACTAATAATGATACAAATAGATATTTATATTATTTTTGAAAGTATTCCTACGTTCCTAAAGCAACAATTACTATAGGTACATTCAATGTCTATACATAATGTGAGATCAAGAAAACCATTCCACTTGCTGAAGAAGTGAAAACATACAAGCTGGAGGTGTTTGGAATAAGTGGGACACATTGGCCTCTGATGAACGGAAAAGTTTAGCTTCAGGAGAGATGCTGTAGTACTCCAACCATAAGGAGGAAAATGCAATGATATAGTCCAAAGAAGCATAAACAGCACTGATAGGATGGGAATCTCATGAATGTAGGATCATCAAAGCATCATTCAAGACAAAGGAAGAGGGTATTACAATAAACGTCATTTAAGGCAGTTGTCTACACCAAATACACCTCACCCGTCGACCAGACAGAACCAGAAAAAACCTACCGTGGTAGAGAACAAACCAGATTCCAGTTGAGGAAGAAATTAAGAAAAGGCAATGGAGTTAGATACAGCTCACCCCACTGAATCAGGAAACAAGCCGTAACTTTTAATCTACAGGGTGAAACGAAAAGCTGTAGACCACAGAATTGGAGAGAGACATTAGAAGAATGAGTAGCAATTGGAAAAGACTGAGAAGAAGTGCGGAGAACAAAGTCGGTTGGAGAGTGCTAGTCAGATGCCTATACTACATGAGGGCTAACAGGCTAACGTTCGTAAATAAGTAATGTATAAATATTCGGAAATTTATATTAACTATTTTAGTTTGGGTTCCAGGGTAATGTTCGTATATACATAGTAAGTGTGCAAAAATTTTGGAAAAAATGTCATTTTTTATCGATTATTAATTATTATTTTTATCATTAACATTACTGTTATTATTATTATTATTTGCACTATCATATTACAACTATTGTTACGAAAGTTATGGTTTATCGATAATTTGTTTATAGAAAAATCATCTGACATCTTACAAGTTGCGAATCTAGTGAAATATAAATCGTTCAGTAATAACTGTAATGTCTATCTACGAAATTTGAACTTTCAAATCAAAGTTATTCATTCAGTATATATTCATACGTTTTGTTAGATATTCTCACAAGTTATTATACTGTTACTTAATATCAAATACAAACTAATTTCTAACAAAAAATCTAATGTGGCAGAGTAACGTTTTACATTTTATTAATTAAACTATATCAAACAGTTTATTTTAGTATAAGGCGATTGAATAATCAGTCTGCTAACACAAGAACCGAACAGCCATAGTACTAAATATCAAGATCTTACCAAGTAGTTTTTTGTCCGAATCTAGTTATAAACAGAAAAAAACATTACTATACATGCTGGTTCAGTCACTTATAAAATGGATCGTTAATATTATTTCATGAATTAACTAATTAACAGCTGTTGGTTTATACTTTATGATTCGTTCCAAGTCTAACTACAGTACTTTACATTTAAACGATATTTGTTGATACATATTTTGTAATAAGCTAATAACTTCACTTTCGCTTTACTGACAATTATGAATTAAATAGATGATAAATTTCTCTAACTTAATTCAAACTAAAAGTAAATTACTGTAGTTCTAATTGTGTTCTAAATCACGTCCTATCTCAAGATTGTTGAATTAAAAATCAAAACGTGACGAAAAAAAACAACATGCAACTGTTTAAATTATCACAAATTGTTTCACTCAATATGAGTAGAATATTAGTTCTGATGTGATGAAAACGCATTATTCATTAGTTTAGCCCGGTTATTTTTCGTTACACTATGCCAAACTGCATGGGATTGATTGATATTCAAAGCGAATAATTCACTAGAATTTTCGAAAAAAAATTAAATTATTCGCCTTATTTATTGGCATAATTTATCTAAGTGATTTACTTATCAATGTATTTCAGATCAATCAGAAATTGACTTCATGTTTTAATTTACTTTTATTTAGATGACTTCAAATATACGATGATGTGCATAAAAAAACCGATAACACTTTTCAAGCAAATAATATTTGAAATTATTCATCTAATGATACCATTTGATAATTTCGTTTTTAAAAATATATGAATAATAATCACACTTGAACAACTGCTCGGAAACATCATGAACAAATTTAAAATATACTGAAATTATTAGAAATTGTTCAGCAAAAATACCTTGACTATTGAAGTTACAGACTTTGTATTGTACATGCAAATATAAACCAAATATATGAATTATTCGGATACATAATATAAATTCAAAAAAACTTTGCCACATTGAAGGTGGTTATCATAGATATACTGACAATTAGACATGAATTCACCCTATAATTTCTATCTACTCAGAATTAATCGACCAATAAATGTTATTGGATAGATAAGAATTAAACTGTCATATTTCGTTATATTTCATTTTACTGATTAGAACTTGTTAATGTTTCATTATTTTACTTTGAGACATGGGTTATTACCTGTCATAATCTTTTGTTTGGAATTAGCGAATTACTATATCAAAGGAGTAAGCAATGCTGCCATTAGGAAGCGTGTACTGGGTAAGGATGGCAGGTCAGTAGATGAAGTAATGAAACTTCATCAGTTGAGATGGTTAGGACATGTGTTAGGTATGGCTAACCACCAACTGCTGCGACGAGCTATGTTTTGCAGTGTAGGAATAGGTTGGAAGAAAGCTAGGGTTGGCCAAACCAAAACATAGCAGAAATCCATGAAGTCACTGACAAGTAGACTGAGTCATCTTGGTAGATGTAGGCTACCTGGTTGGGGTCCGCGAGGCGAAAGTCACCGATGGCTAGAGACCTTGAACGACATAGCTAAAAATCGTTTATAATGGCACAGGTGCATCCACTCTTTATGTTCTCTCAAATCCTAATCTTCTGAATCCGTCAACACCTCTATCTTTGTATTTCTAAACTTATCTCACTGAATTATACTTCTTGAATAATATCTTCAAACCCTAGTCTTCTTCATTACCATTAATACCTCTACTATCTCTATCACTATTGGGTTTGAATTGACAATTACATCTCTGTGCTAATGTGGTATGGCAACAGGAACTGTTGTACTTACGTATGAAGTTCTACATTGTAACTGACTGACTGACAATATCAAAGATTATCTTAGGGATATCCATACCGTCAATATAAATCAGAATAACTATCAAGACAAATAACTTAATTTATGTAACAAAACTACCTTTAGTTTATTGATTTTTTATTAGAATTGTACTTGGTCACTTCTAGGAATATTTAATCCTGAAACTGCTTAGGTCAGCAAAGCTTAATTAATCAATTAATCACTAATAATAAGCTTATCTAATGAATTTGTTCAAAAAGAAAGAATTATCTTTGACATTCAGAGAAGTGTATACAATTAGATGACTTTTACATTATTCATGGCGAATTATGTACACTAGTTACTTATGAACAGCACTTTTCTCTTAAGATTAAATCTAAAACTATTAACCTTTAAATAGCCTTTTAAAAAGTTATTGTAATTATACTGTAATATTTAAATGAGTCATATGAACTATTGAATAAAAATAATATTTCTAAAATTATTATTTAGTGTTTTACAATAATGTAGAAAATTAATTATCGCGGATTAAGTCAGATGAATGATTAAGTGAATACTATCATAGATTTTAATTTAGTCGAAACATCCTTCTAATATTTATATTTCCAGTGATAGATTTTTAATTAGAACTCAATAGATTTCGTAAACTCATGGTTTACACTATTGAAAATATAGAGCACTCATGGTACTGGTATGTTAGAAAATAGTTTCACTTGGATATGTGAAACATTGAATTAGAATTCAATAATCCGAAGGTATCTTTATAAACTATAAGATTCCATGTAAAGTAACATATACCTTACAGAGTAGTCATAATTCAAGATGAAACAACTATTCAGTGTTTCTTGGATTTTTGATAATTATTTTAACAAAATTATTTCATTATTGGTTGTAAGATTTTGTTAGTTATAGATTTTTATTAAATGAGTAAAGCACAACTATTTGATGCATGGTGATATTATATACATCATTTAAAAAAAATTATTAAATATTTTTAACTTAAAACTAAATTGTTTAGCATAATATAGTTATCTGTTGTTCTATTCTGTTTCTATCTGTTTGTATGTATATGTGTATGTGTGTATAGGTTTTTAACACTAGGTCATCGTGTGAAATCTATGTAATAATTTGTAGACAATATCAGTTCATTCGTCAATTTCACCAAATGTAAGTATATAATATATTTATATTTACATATGTAGGTCATCATAATGATATTATCGTGTAGTTAAGACTTAACAAATGAATAAACTTGTACTAGATTATTGATTTTACTGGTTAGATTATACTAACACTACAAATGACCGACCAACAAATACAATGATACAAACAATGATGATATAATTCAATTCATTTTACATCAAAAAATTAACACAGAAAAAAATAATAAGTGAAAAACAATGAATTGAGACCAAAATTTACAAAATTGACACCAGTTGACAAATACTAATTCAATTTAGAGAATTTAGACATTTGAAATATATATATTTTTTGGGGCAGAGTTTTGGAGGTTTGCGTTTTTACACATTTGAAATCATCAATCAATCATTGTTAGACCACCATATATATATATATATATATATATATATATATATATATATATATATATATGCAGAGAGAGGATAAGACCATAACAACGAAAGTATTTTTGAACTGTAACATGAATAACTCTTCATCAAATATTTATCCATACCACTTTGATGATTCCTTTTTGTCTGTGGTCAAATCTTTATCTAATATATTACGTCAACAAAAATGATTTCAAATGTGTAAAAACACAAATCTCCAAAGCTCTAACTGAAAATATCGTAACAGTGCTCACTAGTGACTAGCTTCGTGAGGAAATTCTCGGAGTTCTAGTTGAGAAGACGTGACTGATGGAGTTCAACCCTGTTGGGTGTAGGCAGTAACTACCAAAGACAAATGGGTGAGGTCACGCAAAATCCGTAGATCAATCAGAGTTAGACATTAACACCGTTGCATGCTGGCCCAGTGGTCCGATTGTTAGGCGTTCGCGCACGATACTGAAGGTCCCGGATTCGAATCCTGCGAGGTGCAGGAGTCGTTGATGCGCACTGCTGATGAGTCCCATACCAGGACGAAACGGCCTTCCAGTGCTTCGAGGTTTCTAATGGTGGTCTAACAATGATTGATTGATGATGTAAAAACATAAATCTCCAAAGGTCTAACTGAAAAAATGTTTAAGTTAATGATAATGAGTCTGTCATTATTATCTTCGATGCTTTCCCAGTGGACTGTAGATATGATCAACTCTCTTATCAAACCAAATATGAGTTTTGTGTGCGTGTGTGTGAAGTAGAGCTAGATGAAACAGATTTTACACTTGATCTATTGTTTTTAACAAGACCAAGTTATTATAAAAAGAATAATTAAGCTGTGTACTAAATGCTTATCAATTAAGAAGCACTTTGTTTCAGCAAGTGTAATGTAAGACAATAAAATTAATTCGAGATTTTACACTTCACTGGCGATCAACCACCATGCTGGCAATATTTTAGAAAGGTTAAGACGATCATATTATAGCAAAAGTATGCTCTTGCACAGTATGACTGACTATTCATGCAAATCATTCAAGTTCATTGAGCAGATTTAAAAAAATGTCAATATATCTTCAGTGTATGACTAAACTAATTAGATTTATACTTAGAATTGTTCAATATCATGTGCTTTGTAGTTAATCGTAGATTATCGTAATAATATAACACATGAATTTCATTCTGGTATTTTTAAAGTTAATAAATAATGTCAAATTAGTCATGTAGAATGATTTCAGCATTACAATTTTGTCTCTTTCTTTAATTAGACATTAAATTTATTTGATGCTTTGCAGTGAATTATTTCAATGAAATAGCTAGAATTAGGAAAACAAAATTCACAAGGAATTCAGTATTGAGTGTCATATTTCATTTCATTGGTTGAATTATAACAATTACATTAGATCATTTTTAATCTAAATCTTTACTCATGAACTTTCTGCATTTAGAAATTCATTGTTTAATAACAAATAAAAGCTTCTAAATTAAGAAATTCAATCTGGATTTAGAAAATAGGGTCATGGTAACATTTCCAAGATGTTATAATGGACAACATAGTTACCTATATTGAAAACAACATTAATTTCTACAAGTATGTGATAAATTTGAACAAAATGGAAGTCGTTCTTATGTTGGATTGATTAGTTTATCAATATTTTTCGCTGGATTAACTTTCAAATATGGATAGGATTGATAAATGATCATTATTACTATTTAAACTGGTTTGTTTATGTAATTGAACTTTTTGATTTTGCAAGGGAGTCGAATGGGGCGAAGATAACGGATAAGGTTGCGCAGTATCGTGAAATGGCTGAAGATAGACATTAACATAGTGGTCAGAGGTTAAACATTCTCACTCGAGACCGGAGGTCTTAGGTTCAATTCCTAAGTGCAGGGGTCGTGGTCGGGCACTGCCAATAGGTCCCATACTAGGATCGAATGGCCATCGAATGTTTCCAGGTTTATAATGGTGGCCTAACATTCATTGTTTCATGATTTCGATTTTATGAAAACATGATGGACACTTCACATCGACGTTTTACGCATTCTGATTACTGTGACTAGTAGTGATAATACCATCCCTATAAAAACTCTTACATTCAATCTAAGTGTAGATTTAGAGATGGTGGAGAAGATTTGTAGCTCAGGTGGATGATTGTGGTGTTTGGTTCTCTGAGCTGAATGTTTAGGTTGTGAAGCTTTCATTCGAATGTTTCACTTCTATCTGAAGTTTGTGCCGATGATGTTGTTCAGAAGAACAATGAAATCTCCATAACCAAAATATCCAGCTCAGAGAACCAAACACCACCACCACAAGTGTAGATTTAACTAATTTTTCTGACCATTGCTCATTAGTACTGTACGTAATCCATATAATCCAAGTTGCTCAGCACCTCTCTGCTATATTGAGGTTCTAACGTTAAGGCAAGTTCAAATAATGCAGAACTTCATTTGAAGTGCTTTACAATCATGTCACACTTAGTTTAACATTTCAAAAACGTTATGGAATTTTTTCATCGCTAGTATAGACCTTATTTTTTAAAAATTCAAATGTGAATGTCTTCAGTTTGTAGATAATGTTCATAAACAGACCAACATCAGCGTGTAAACCACTGAGAACAAGAAGCACTACTACACAATTTTTCTGTTCTGGGGTGGAACTTTTCAACTATACTTATCGAAAACTTTATAAAGTATCGTGCTCAAAATTATTACATCCAGCGATGAGACATGAACAAACTAACATCTACAAAACTGAGTCATACCATGAGGTTTGGTTAGTAAATTATTAATCAATAAATTACAGGTTTATAAATAGACATTATCACTTCCTAGTTTGTTACCACTCACTATGGGTTTGAAAATCGTTTATCCTACTAACTGACTGAAGTTTAAGTGGATTTTCTTACACTACCATTCAACCTCTACCATACATATAATGTTCAATATTTCAGTACTATACCGTCTAGTTTTTGTAACCAAAAACACGTTTCTTCCCTACAGTCTCAGATAATGTTCGCTATAAAAAGGTCCTTATTTCAAAGCTTATATAAATTGTATAACTCCATTTTTATCATTTCATAAAATAAACGAAACAATTAAGAATCATTACTGTTATTCTTCACTTACTAAAAGACATGAGGAAGTCACGATAAAATGGCGTTTTGAAATTAATCTCCAATGTTGCTAACCATGGTGTAATCCCTGGGAATTTCTCAGAGAATTGATTAGCTTCAGTTAAGAAATTGACAAAAGCGCCAAGACCAAATATTCCATGTGGATGATAACCAACTAAGTAGTTATTACTTGGAGGGAATAATTCTCTTATACACGCCATATTGTTTTCGCTTATAGCGTAATTGTTCTTGCTTATCAGTGTATGAGTACAGTTTTCGTCATTTGTATTGTTATTTTCAGCATTATTGCAATTTGAGTCGACAGTAGAACTGAATTCATCAGCTTCAGATATATTTTCAGTATCTTTATTATTGTATAATTCACTGAGAACAAGATTAATTGGAAAATAATGTGCCACATATTTCCATAATATTGAATTCCTGATAAAATGTTTTGGATGACCGCCTTTTTCTTCTGATCCTTTGTCAATACTCCAATATATCCAGTATCCAGTAATCAGTAAAACAATAGTTATAAATTGTCGAAATAATTGCAATGATCGTTCATCATGAATAAATTCATAAGGATTTTGTATGATTTTTTTATTAATAATTAATTCATCACCAATTATATAGGATACTTGAAATAGTTTAAAAAATAAATATAACCATAATAACCAACATGTTGTTGCACCAAATAAAAATGTTAGAACAAAAGAAGTAACACTTAAGAATTGAAGCAAAATTTGTTTGAATTGAAGCATACAAGATAAATTTGGAACTATTTTCATGGAATATTTGTACATTATGAATAGAAAGGAAATTTGTCTAGTATTAGATGATTTATAAAATTAGGAGATAATGTTGCAGTATAATTTCGGTTGTTGGCTCACAAAAAATGACAATGAAAATGATATTAAATTAGCTGTTTATTTTGTTCATTGAGATAATTGGATGTTAAAACATTTGTGACAGTTCAATGCGGTTTATATATAACTTTTCCAACGGCAAAATTTGATTGGTAGAATATCAGATGAAAGTGTTTGCGTAGGTGGCAATTAGACTTAATGACTTAGTGACTACTGATAACAGAGAGGATTAAATCTGTTTGTTTTTCAATTAAAATCATCTTTAGTTTATTCTTTGATATAAAAATAAATAGCTTTTATCTTTTTAATAGCACTAAAGCTAGAAGAGTTAGTATATGGCTGATATCATTATGATTTAGTAATCATTGTCAGTTTGAGTAATAAGATTGTTTTTATCCGTTTCTGAACATGTGAGTATCATAGTGAAGAGAATTATCATACATTTTCTGATTAAAGTAAGCATATTACGTTTCACAGTCATAATTGTGCTCAAGGTCATTTTGTAAGGCTCAATACATGCAATTGTTTAGCTATCTGAAAACCTGTGACAGATTATAAATAAGTTATCAACACTGATAATCAGATCTCAGTCATGTGATTTCAACTACTTTCTGACACTATGAGTTGAGTCACTGATTATACAACTAAATATTAATTTTTTTCTTTTAAAATTTATTCTCTGGTTTTCAATCTGTTTAGACAGTGCTATAAAAAGACGAGGGTTATCATAATTATGTGATATATTTGAATAATACATTTCAGACAATCTGGTCACACAGATATTTTTATGGCGTTATATATGGAATATATACAGGTCAAAGGTTACGGAAATAATAATAATAATAATGATGAAGTGCACAATGTGAAAACCACTCTGGATAATCAATGAGGATTGACAAGGTAGGTTAAGGGTAACAACAATCAGGTTTTAAATACCTGAAGGGGATTTCAATTTTCGTATAGCCAAGGCTTCTATGAGCCTTAGTATACATCCTTGGATAATTGTATAACGCTATAAAGGGTGACTTGATATCAACCGTTCAACTGGTCTCAACCAAAAGTCTAGCAATGGAGGATGATATTTACCTGGTCTGTGATCTTATTTGATCATTGTTTATGTAGCCATTTAGGTATGTGTTCAACCATCCTTATTTCAAGCTCACGATTACTCCCACTTACACACGTGTCCACACATACATGTAGACTGATAGACGCAATGGGATGTGACACAATCGTTTACACACTGTTTGGGTTTTTGGTGAAACATATACCCTGACTTTTCGATAATGAGTTGCACTGCGTTAAATGTCTTGTGGGTAGCTAACTTGAGTCTTCGTCTTAGTATAAGACTATTGATTCGCCTCTGATTGGTACACCAATATAGACTCATATTTTGGGTATCAAAATATAGTAGATTTCACCATACTGCAGCCTCTCAAACGGTCTATAAACTTTAATGAATAACCGTTATTCATCAACCTTTCACTCACAAGCCTTATGTCTCTCTAAACAGTATCACTAATACAAATACGACTGCTCCTATTGAGAAAGCCCTATATTAATCTACGATTGTACTGGACTGATAGTGACTAGCAAAACTAAGATATAAGCCTATCTATATCGGCTTTTTATGTACAGAACGTTTGATAGAGCCACTGCCAGCAATCACAAAATAATTATGCACATTGATTTATCTCTTAATTTACCAAAATCAGTGTGGTATTTCGTGAGCTAAAGAAAAATGGTTGAAGTAAGATTTATAATTCAAATGAGTAAAAGTAATTAGACCATTGGACCATGTTTCAGTAGACCTATCAAGTATTACTAGTTTGACTTTCCACTAAACATGTACAAATCAGTCATGTGTTGATGTCTGCTAATCGTATACTCTTTTTTTATACTTAGCTTTCAATCAAACCTTTAAGTACGGAGGCTAGTGACCTAACCCATTTTTCTAGTCTAAAGCAGTTAGGTGAAAGTTCGAAACTGAATACCGACTGTTGTGAGTCTAATGCCGTAAGCATTAAACTAATTCTTCATACCGAGATGTATAAATAGTTGAGACTATCAACATGAGTTTTGGGTGAAGGTTATAGATGGAATTCTCCAGTGTTTTCTGCATTCCTTGCCTAAAAGTTCCCGCCATACAACAAATATGATTTCGAGTTCTTTAAGCAGTTAAATTTTAAAAAAAATTAATTATTATGTAGCACTGAGTACTTGTAATAAATGAAATGTTGTTAAAAATAGATTTAGGGGTAAAACAGTTTGTTGAACATTCGATTCAAACAATCAATGAATTATGCATGCAATCAACCGGTTATTTTACAAAAAGATCAATATTTCATGAGCAGTTAATATTTCTGATCTCGGGTACATTTTGCATTTGCACTTAATGGCAGATATATTGATCGTTTGCTCCCATGTAATAAAGAGTTTTAATTTGTATCAAGAAAAACTTTGAACAGTCGAAAGTTATATTAAAAAAGAATAGTTGACATCTCTCTCTCTGTATATATATATATATATATATATATATATATATATATATATATATATATATATATATGAAAACAAATTCAAGTTCATCCTATGTAAACTTATCTTAGGATTCGAAATTTTTAGTTAGTCTTCACATTGTTGTTGTGTCCCAAAATATGTTACAAAAGCACTTGAAATGATATGAGGATATGCTAGTTTGTTTGTTTGTATGATTTCTTGTAACCCAGGTTTAGTATGAAGTTAGTTTTTGTGTAGTGAAAGCATTATCTCGTTAATCGTACATTTTTATTGATCGTTTGATCTATTCTAATGATGACACTATTTGTTCTCGGTTAACTGGATTCGTTCACTGTTGTACGCCAATCACGGTGTAGATAATTTTGAACGGCCATTTTTATTCTGGAGTTTTTTTATTTGTTTCATACTCTTCTAATCAATTTTCAGATGGTATCATGTCTAACTCTGTCATATTTCATACTGTCGCTTGTTAAGAGAAATTTATAAAGTTACATATTTCCAACAGCAAATCAAGTTGAATGTCAAACAATCGTTTCACACTAAAATTTTCAGAAATTCACCTTTCGAAAATGATTTCACTAAATAATCACTGAGTAAGTAAGTCTGAGGATTAGAAACGATGATTTCATTTCAAATCGTCAACAGTGTAGAATATTCTGGAGATTATTGCTTAAAATATTTCGATGACAGCTACCAAATTATTTATTTCAACCAACAAGAATTGCTTGATTTATTACAACTATGAATATTAGTTTTTAGAGAATTATTAACAGATTCTGCAAATGGATTCAATACTGGAGAATTATTCTTTCACATAAAATGTATGGAATCAATTTAGTGACTGACTTACGATTTCGAAATAACTGTACGCTGACACTTATAAAAACTAACTCTCAAGTTGCTAAATTACCCTGTTATCAATTGTTACATATTTGGTAAATGGTCAACGTTGATCGGTAATACTATCAATAATTCGACACACAATGAATTTGTTAATTATTTTTGCGAAACATTTCTGTAATTTATGTGTTAAAATAATTATTAAGCAAATAAAACGATTAAATCAAGTATTCTGTATTTGACAAATATTTCAAATAAATAAGTTAACACAGTGTGTTGATAAAATTTCAGGGAATCGTAAATTCCGCTAAATGAAGTTTCGTTTGCTTTATGAATTATGTGGTATTTTTCGTCAGATTGCTACTGTACATTTTCTTTCTTTCTCTCTCTGTCTGCCAGAATTTCTCGATAAAATTTTTAAACAAGTATGTTAATAATTGAAATCAATACAGTTTATTATTACATTGCAACTAGAGACATCTACAAGTTCATCAGGGATCAAGAGGTACATTGTCCTCTAGAACAAATGAAATAGTAATGTGAATAAATCCTTTAAAAGCAATAAGACTTGTATTCCAATAGCATACAGATCATAAATTACTGATTGAACATTGAAGCTTTCTATCTTGTGATGGTAGTAAAGAACTTGAATGACTTTATAGTAACTTTTATTGTTACAGTACTGGTGAAGTGATAGTTTTAAAGAGAAAATTTTTTTGTTACCTAACAGATTTACTCCGGTAATAAATCAAAGCTAGACAAGATACTCACTAAAACTTTGATTCAATCTCTTTAATGAGAAATAAAGACAAGTAAATATTAGAATGTTTAAAAAATCGAACACAATGCATCTTTATTACAGGTTAGTGCAAATAACTTCATCAAGGTCATACACTATCCAGTTTGTTCAGTAAAGATATTGAATCTTTTTACTAGATAAAGGTTGCATTACAAGGTTAGAAAAAGTATTCCGTAAATATTTACGTTTGCTGAGAAAAACAATAAAAACAGAGTCCGATTGTAAAGGGCAGGCATCAATCAACAAAAAATACACAACAATGATTTCAAATCAAATGACCAACTTTAAAGTAGTAAGTTTCTGGTTTAAAAATACTCATACAATGCAACTGACTGTTAATGGAATTTATAATACAATAAACAAACTACATTTAATTAAGCAACAAAGTTATACAGTTAATATCATAACCTATTAAGTCTTAGATAATCAACCAAAAAAAATTACAGATCTTAACTATTTGTGACCAATTATAAACAGATTGGCTGAATTATTTATCTATTCACATAGATAATCTTCCTAACCAAAACAATCAACAAAAATTGGTAATTTTTTTTTTCTTTCTAAAAATAAATCAAATGACTAAGTCCCATAGTTTACTGAACTTTGTTTAAAATACAGTCCTATTTTATTATTCACATAATAAATCCAAGTTTATCTATTTTTAATTGATTGAATTTTGCGCTGTTTTCTTATTAGTTTATTTTCAATGTCCTTTATTATTTCACTGTGATTGCCTGGATTTATCAATGAGGTACAAATGGCGCCATTTATATCATAATTTGTTTAAGTTGACTGTGTTTCAAATTAAAGTCATAATTTTTATATTTAGCGCCAGTTTATTACTTCGTGTGTTTCGAAACTTTAATCAACAAAAAAAAACAAACGATACCCTGCAAATTTGAGTTTTGTTCTGAAATTCAAAGAAGTAATTATTGTTGAAAGCTGAAAAATAATTTTACTCCTTCTTTTTAAACAAATATAATGATCGGTTGGAATTCTTCTGAAAACAATGCTTATATTAACGGTATGAAAATTAAATGATAAAGGGTGAAGTCATTTAAAACGTCCGTGAACATTCAAATACCGAAAAAGTTTTAAATTATCTATTTACTGAATTCCTTCAAAATACAACTGTTATATTTATTGTAATAACATTTTCTATTTTTCGGTCTTTTTTGCCTTTCGGTATAGTTTATGAAATTATCAGTAAATTGTAGTTATTTTTATATTGAACACTTTGAATATCTATGTTACGAGTGATCATGAATTGTCAACACGTAGTGTGGATTCAAAAAAGGAAGTTCTATTTTCAACTGTCGCCATTTTATTCATGATATATACAATCTATTGGTTTTATGATTGGGATTCAGAAAACCATGGTGCTCATCCAAGACAATTTATACGTTATTTAAAAATATGGAATTGTTAGCCGATTACTTTCCAATACATTTAGTGATTAGTAAAGAGTTTATAAAAATTCACTGAATTCATAATCCAAATCAAGCAATGTTCACATGCCATGAATTTTATTGCCAATAAATATACTATTGATGATGGCGATTATGAAAACGATGATAGTTTTGACAATGAAATGACTGAAAGATCTTTTATTAAACATGGTTTACCTACAGATGTCAACTATTTAGTTGGATTTCATCCTCATGGAATACTGGCTACAGGAGCATTCATTAACTTTGCTACAGAAGCTACTGGTTTTTCAAAAATCTTTCCTAGTTTCAAGCCATTTCTGGCTATATTAAAAGCCCATTTCATAGCACCGGTTTATCGGGATTTACTGATGTCATTCGGTAAGCAGTTTTTGGTTGACAACCCTAACTGTTATATATTTTATGTGTCTACGATGATTGTCTGGAGCAATACTTAACTAAATTATATATTTGATATCATAAAACAGGAATTCATGAATCTTTTACATGTTTTCGAACATATATGAGAATACTGCATCAAAGAGCTTCAAAAATCTGATACTACAGGTAATTGAATATATGTCATCCGAAATCTGATAATAGAAAACCAGGAAGTTTAAGTTTTAACACCAAACAACAAGATCACCAATGTCGATTTCAAGTAGCCAAATACTAACCAAAACCAAATCTGGCTAGTAATTGATACAATAAAACTTTATAAAGAAGGGAAGCGATGTTTATTCTGTACAAATTATAGATGATCTGAGGTTTAAATTTACATTGGTGGTATAATTTATTAGCTGATACACTGAGTTGCTGGCTCATTTGAAGTTTTCCGGCATTATAAATTGATTTACATTCAAAAGTAAGTGCTAATGAAAAGATTGATTCCAAGTGAATAGATACTTCACGTTATCTCGTAGAGACACAAATCAATCTTTTCATTTAAACAACAGTGTTTTGCAAGCAGATTTTGTATGATCCTATGAATGTAGAAACTGAAATCCTTTTACTAAAGATGAGTAATAATGCACCTGTATCAGTTATTTACTTACTCCTGTTACCTCTGGTGGAGTATAGGCCACCGACCAAGATTCTCCAACCTACCCTGTCCTCCACTTTCCTTCCTGATTCTTCCCAACTGCTACTCATTCTTTTCATGCCTGTCTCATATTCTCTGCTCAATCTGTTCTTTCGTCCTTTTCTTTTCCTTTGAGTATCACAAGTTACAGCTTGTCTCATGAGGCAGTTTGGTGATTTCCACGATATGTGTCCAATCCCCCCTTTGCGCCTTTTCTTAATTCCTTCCTAGTTTGTTCTCTCACTTAGTAGGTTGTTGGTGTCTGACCAACAGATATGGAGCATCTTTTGTAGACAATTGTTTATAAATACCCGTATCTTTTGGATTATTGTTTTGGTAGTTCTCCAGTTTTCCGTTCCATACAACAGAACTGTTTCGCTGTTCGTATTAAGAATTGTGACTATGGTATCTGTTGACAGTTTTTCTGAGTTGTAGATGTTCTTCAAAAGTAGTAATGCTGTCCTTGCTTTGCTAATCCGTGTCTTTACATTTGCACCAGGCCTACCTTGTTTATCAATGATGTTGCCCAGATATGTAAAGGTTTCTACATCCTCCAGTGCTTCCCCGTGATTTGGTTGATGCATGTTGTATTGTATTGCTTTTTCTCTTGTGTAAATAGAGACAATGTAAATAAAGACTGCCGTTACACATTTGTTTCCGTATTTGAGATAGGAGAGCCAGATATAAATTGTTTAGCTGCATCCTAGTTGTCCACTGTATCAACTGCTTTCCACGAGAAGTTAAGGCCTTTATAATCCAGTCAACTACCTGAAGAAAGAGGAAGGGTGAGAGTTAGCAACCTTGCCTGATACCGGTCTTTAGTTTGAATATGGGCTGTCCTCCATGCATGATCTTACACTTTAACCCACTGCAATAATTTCGTACGATGTTGACTATCTCTTCAGGTACACTGTAGTGTCGAATAAACCTCCATATGTCATCCTCTCCACACTGTCAAATGCTTTGTCGTATTTAAGGATTTTGATTTATAGCAGTTAGTTTCATTTACTTGATTGTTTCATAATGGTTCGTAATGTCGCAATTTGTTCGGTACATGATCTCTCTTTACGGAATACAACCTGCTTTTCTCGAAGTTGGGCATCTATTGAATCCTCAGTTCAGTTCAGGAACACTCTGTTGAAGACTTTTTCAGGTATTGATAGTAGGGTGTTGCCTCTCACTCTTGGTGAGGGCTGTCTTTGGTACTTTGATGTGGTTTCCTTTTTTCCATTCTGTCGGAACTTTCGCTGCTTGTTCCTGCTCCTAAACCTTACTGAACAGAGCATGGAGTATCTTTGCTGTTACTCTGATGTCTGTTTGCAGTGCCCCAGCTGGTATGTTGTCTGGTCCCGCCACATTGCCACTCTTGATTTGTCCGATGGCCATGCTGATCTTTTCTACTGTTGGTGGGTCAACAGCGATTGGTTCTTCCAGTCTCCCATATTGTGCGAACACTCCATGTACCTGTATGAATTGTTTCGATGATTGTGAGACGGGGCATCAGACTCGCAGTTTCTGATGAAACTTGGCTTTCATTGATAGTTGTCATAACTTTTACAAATGAAGACCTTCCATATGCCAGCGCAGAGTTTAAATAGTTGAAGTGATTTTGTTCTGGTTATCGACTTTTAGCAAGTTTGTCTGCTACGAAATTGGTTCACTAAGCTAATTCTCAACCCTTCTCCTTAATCCGGGTATTGGAACGGTAATAATCCTAGAAGGGTTTCAGGCGGAGTTAATATATATCTGCACACACAAGTAAAAATCAATAATTGTGTTCTATCTCATTTGAACTACTGTATAGACGTGTTTACATCTTTTTTAACGTTTTCTCTCTGATTCGAACCTGTCACTTAAATTCAGTGCTAGATTTTTTGACTTATTTCAATTTAATTTAATATAATATGCTAAGTTGGACAAGTACATAATGCATAGTTCAGTTATCTTTTTGACTTGTCTATATTTTTTAAGAGCCGGTCCGTACTAAATACAGCCTAGAGTTAATGTACATCTAGTACGTTGTAAATAATTAATGATAAATTTCGTTTGAAATTATTTCTCATCAAATGCTTATTTGTTAGAAAAGTATTTGAAGATAGGAAGGACTGGAAATTTATTTCATCTAAATAAATTGAGCTATTGTTTAGAAAAGAGATTCTTCAGTTTTCTTAATAAAATGAGTTCATTTTTTCTATGGTTGGATTAATTTTTATTAGTCTACTATTTAGAATCACATTGATTAGCGTTCCACCCATTGTGAAAATGAACTGACCAATTTGGAATTCTTCAATTTATAATATTAAAGTAAATGAAATAAATCTATTAAAGACTGGAAGTAAAAGGTTGAAGAATAATTTTTATTATAAAATTGAGAAGGCATTAAATTTATCTTTGTTTTCAATATCACCACTCTTTAAATTGAAACAAACTCAAAAGTGGACTGATTAAAGACAAAAAATCCAATAAATAAGTTAAGTGATTTAAAAACTCTTTTTGATCAAGCAGAAGTTGTTGTTTCTTAGATCTAGTTGAAATGTGGTTCATGCATCTTAACTGAATAAGATTTGTTGGGGACATTAGATCCCCAGAGCTCACTTGACTTTGTGTTTTCGCGCAAGAGTTGATCAGTTGACCTTGGGACTACACTTCCCACTCAAAAAATCCTTGATCGTGATTGGTTGATGTAGTATTTTAGTACGCTGTTTTTGTGGCTCTTCCAAGGACGTTTCTATCATGTATAAATAAACTCAATTTGTGTGTTTGAGATTATCATATTTTCTGGGTGCTTGTAGAATACAGTTGCTACGCCTTATCAAGACTTTTGATAAAGTTAGCAGGGCCGGGGACAATCGAACCAGAATAGCCTATCGTATCGTTCCATCATTTGATTTCGCTTACGTTTAACGAGTAAGGTGAACTTGGCGGAGAAGAATAGGCTGCTCTTTATCACTCTTTTATATGCTGTAATAATGTCATGTAAGAAAGCCATACCGTTAAATTAAATAAATAATAAAAAGTTACAAATATAAGAGGAACAATGACTACAACGGATTCATAATTTTTCTAATCAAGAAAATATAAACGGAAGGATGGCAACTCATTTGAAAAATGACTTTCGTAAATAAAATTTTGGAGTTAAAATTAGTTAGTAACAACAGTTCAAGTAATGATTCACAAAACTAAAGTAAACATTTCACGCACAGTTTATCACTAACTGATTTATGTAAATCTGAGATTTTGTTTAAAATAACACAAAGTCAGTGTATATTTCGAATCGTCTACTATTATTTATGTTTATTTCAATACTAAATACTACTTAATAGAACATAAGTTTTAATATCTTAGCTTATAAACAGAACAGTGTTTAATAAACTATTTTCGATTACATTCTAAAATAAGTTAATGGTGATGATGTGAACTAATGAACCAGATGACTAAGAAATGCATTTATCATAGGGCTAAAGAGTATCAGACAATAAGTCATAAATTTATTGTCTATTTTTATTAGTATAGATGGACTAGTAGATATCTAGTCTCTAAAGCTCAGTAGATGATTTCATGTTTGAAGCTAAAGGTACTCAGAGAGAGTTTCAGTGTGATGATTCAGACATATACAGCCAGTGAGAACCAAGTAGAATAAAATGCGTCCCATTGATCCTACTGCTGTTCATTATCTATATATCTATCTTAAAAACTTATAATAAATTGATTATATCGAGGTGATCTACCCGAAAAGTACAGACACAAACAAAGAATGATGGGAATTAGATCCAGGAACATCTACATCAGACAACAGCAATTTTATTAGCTTTCAGTTATTGAATACATATTAGAGTAGAACTCATAAAATAATCAATAACCATTTAAGAAATAATGAACGATTCATTCACTGAATTATTTAATTCGTCAGATTTTTGGAGTTATAAACCAAAAAAGTTGATAACTTTTGATTTTAATGAGGAACGTGTTAATTGTAAACCAGTAGAATAACGATTCGTAATAACAATATCAAGTAAGAAACATGTATTTTCTAAAGGTTTATGGTAATCAGATCATGATTTGATTACATAATCATTTTTAAAAATAAATTTGAAATTCATCACATAACTTGAATGTTCCATTGAATATTCGACTAAAATGAAAAGCCATTGTTTTTACTTAGTCAATCATAATTAGGATCGATAACAGATTATATGATCAAACAGTATGTTTTAATATCGTGAAAAGGCCAAAAAGTTTGTACATAAATTAAGAGATTAGAAATCATTAAATGGTTTATCATGTACTAAAAGGTTTTATACTCGACATCAGGTAAGTGATATACTATTATATTATAGTCACACTACTCGTTTACTAAAGATAAATTTTGTCACATCATTTCATTTAGAAAATTGTTTCAAAGAGAAAAATAATTATGACCCAGTTAAAAATTACTGTAAGCACTTTAAGGAGAATAAGTTTAATCAACTGCTTGCGATCAATTTTATCACATAGTTCTTTCATGTTGATTGTATATACGCACTTTTGATAGTTTGTAAGAAACAACAACTACTTCACAGTACGCTCGTCCTTTAGTCAGCAAACGGATATCTCGCCTACGCCATACATGACGCAGGTTGGCAAAAGCCGATCGAGCCTTCTGTATCTGTGTTGAGATTTCGTCAGTCACCAGGCCATCAGCACTGATGAGGTTCTTCAGATAAGTGAAGCAGTCAACATGTTCAACTACTTCACTCCCTATCACTAGTTCAGGTACCGATGCAACCCAGTCTTGAAGCAACATTTTGCATTTCGAGGGTGAGAACCGCATCCTGAACATGCTTGCATTGTTGCTTAGGGTGGACAGAAGACTCTGCATTTTGTCAGCGCCTTCACCAAGTAGGACAATGTCATCGGCATATTCTGAGTCAATACGTAGAAGGTCTACTCCTGAAAATTCAGAGTTAAGAAGATATAAAGTCTGTAAAACAAAATTAAAACATAAATAGGTTGCAAAACGTAACATTATGGAGTTGTAAACTTAAAGTAAAGACAAATGTTTCACTCTGTTTCATTGATGTTTAAGTGCAATATAATTTAGAGCAGTTAGTTAATAATGAAGATGATTTGAACAATTCATCAACTTGATGGAAAACTACGAAATATGCGAAGGAGGGATTAATAGAAATCATTAATATGTTATTCATTTCATCAAATCATTTCCTTCAAATAAATAAATAAATAATGCACAAACTATCAATTTGAAATGTCTAAAAAACTAATCAATAGAATACAATCAACTAAATAGTTTCTTTATTGACTTCTATTCTGTAACATTAAGAGTCCACTGTGAATATGATTAATTCCATATGAAATTCCATAATATTTTCATAATAACTTTAATAAGTCTTTAATTACAATATAGAATAAATTAAGTCGTGCACCAAATTCGTTTAATTAGGCAGTTGTTGTTAATGTGTTAATGTCAACCGTTTTTGTCAATAGTATCCAGAAAAATTACAATCTACGGTCAAACATACCAGTCAAGTTTTAGTTGTACTTTGATCATTGATTAAACTGCATACATTTTCACTAATTTATTTTTAATATTACAAGACATTAAGAAAACACGTGTGCAAATAGTAACATTCTTGTCTAGATCATCATTTGAAATTTATTTACAAATATTCATTGATTTTTTTTAGAGTACCCTAATAAGCTAGAATGATAATTATATTTTATCAAACTTTTATAGATTTTTTTTTCATCAAAAGCGTTTATTGATGAAACAGATCATTTATATATGAGACAGTCATGATTAAACAATGATCTGTGCTTTCTGTCAACTTTGACTATCGATTGAAGTTGATAGACTAAACTTTGTAATTCAACGAAACTCAACATTGATGCTTTCTAAATTTATATTTTAAATTTTTTAAAGTCATTCATTAAATACTTCAATATTTTTCTAAAAAATTATTGAAGTATTTAATAAATGACTTTAAAAAATTTAAAATATAAATTTAGAAAGCATCAATGTTGAGTTTCGTTGAATTACAAAGTTTAGTCTATCAACTTCAATCGATAGTCAAAGTTGACAGAAAGCACAGATAATTGTTTAATAATGACTATCTCATATATAAATGATCTGTTTCATCAACAAACGCTTTTGATGAAAAAAAATCTATAAAAGTTTGATAAAATATAATTATCATTCTAGCTTATTAGGGTACTCTAAAAAAAATCAATGAATATTTGTAAATAAATTTCAAATGATGATCTAGACAAGAATGTTACTATTTGCACACGTGTTTTCTTAATGTCTTGTAATATTAAAAATAAATTAGTGAAAATGTATACAGTTTAATCAATGATCAAAGTACAACTAAAACTTGACTGGTATGTTTGACCGTAGATTGTAATTTTTCTGGATACTATTGACAAAAACGGTTGACATTAACACATTAACAACAACTGCCTAATTAAACGAATTTGGTGCACGACTTAATTTATTCTATATTGTAATTAAAGACTTATTAAAAGTTATTATGAAAATATTGTGGAATTTCATATGGAATTAATCATATTCACAGTGGACTCTAAATGTTACAGAATAGAAGTCAATAAAGAAACTATTTAGTTGATTGTATTCTATTGATTAATTTTTTAGACATTTCAAATTGATAGTTTGTGCATTATTTATTTATTTATTTGAGGGAAATGATTTGATTAAATGAATAACGTATTAATGATTTCTATTAATCCCTCTTTCGCATATTTCGTAGTTTTCAATCAAGTTGATGAATTGTTCAAATCATCTTCATTATTAACTAACTGCTCTAAATTATATTGCACTTAAACATCAATGAAACAGAGTGAAACATTTGTCTTTACTTTAAGTTTACAACTCCATAATGTTAGGTTTTGCAACCTGTTTATGTTTTAATTTTGTTTTACAGACTTTATATCTTCTTAACTCTGAATTTTCAGGAGTAGACCTTCTACTTATTGACTCAGAATATGCCGATGACATTGTCCTACTTGGTGAAGACGCTGACAAAATGCAGAGTCTTCTGACCACCCTAAGCAACAATGCAAGCATGTTCAGGATGCGGTTCTCACCCTCGAAATGCAAAATGTTGCTTCAAGACTGGGTTGCATCGGTACCTGAACTAGTGATAGGGAGTGAAGTAGTTGAACGTGTTGACCGCTTCACTTATCTGGAGAATCTCATCAGTGCCAATGGCCTGGTGACTGACGAAATCTCAACACAGATACAGAAAGCTCGATCGGCTTTTGCCAACCTGCGTCATGTATTGCGTAGGCGAGATATCCGTTTGCTGACTAAAGGACGAGCGTACTGTGAAGTAGTTGTTGTTTCTTACAAACTATCAAAAGTGCATATATACAATCAACATGAAAGAACTATGTGATAAAATTGATCACAAGCAGTTGATTAAACTTACTCTCCTTAAAGTGCTTACAGTAATTTTTAACTGGGTCATAATTATTTTTCTCTTTGAAACAATTTTCTAAATGAAATGATGTGACAAAATTATCTTTCGTAAACGAGTAGTGTGACTATAATATAATAGTATATCACTTACCTGATGTCGAGTATAAAACCTTTTAGTACATGATAAACCATTAATTGATTTCTAATCTCTTAATTTATGAACAAACCTTTTGGCTTTTTCACGATATTAAAACATACTGTTTGATCATATAATCTGTTATCGATCCTAATTATGATTGACTAAGTAAGTAAAAACAATGGCTTTTCATTTTAGTCGAATATTCAATGGAACATTCAAGTTATGTGATGAATTTCAAATTTATTTTTAAAAATGATTATGTAATCAAATCATGATCTGATTACCATAAACCTTTAGAAAATACATGTTTCTTACTTGAATTTGTTATTACGAATCGTTATTCTACTGGTTTACAATTAACACGTTCCTCATTACAATCAAAAGTTATCAATTTTTTTGGTTTACAACTCCAAAAATCTGACGAATTAAATGATTCAGTGAATGAATCGTTCATCATTTCTTAAATGGTTATTGATTATTGTATGAGTTCTACTCTAATATGTATTCAATAACTGACGCTAACCTCAAAGCCAATAAAGTCGCTGCTGTCTTATGTAGATGTTCTTGGATCTAATTCCCATCAGTCTTTGTTTGCGTCTGTACTTTTTGGGTAGATCATCTCGATATAATCAGTTTATTATAAGTTTTTAGGATAGATAGATAGACAGATAATGAACAGCAGTAGGATCAATGGAACACATTTCATTCTACTTGGTTCTCGTTGGCTGTATATGTCTGAATCATCACACTGAAACTCTAGCTGAGTACCTTTTGCTTCAAACATGGAATCTTGTGCTGAGCTTTAAAGACTAGATATCTACTAGTCCACCTATACTAATAAAAATAGACAATAAATTAGTGATTTATTGTCTGATACTCTTTAGCCCTATGATAAATGCATTTCTTAGTCATCTGGTTCATTAGTTCACATCATCACCATTAACTTATTTCAGAATGTAATCGAAAATATTTCATTAAACACTGTTCTGTTTATAAACTAAGATATTAAAACTTACGTTCTATTAAGTAATATTTAGTACTGAAATAAACATAAATAATAGTAGACGATTCGAAATATACACTGACTTTGTGTTATTTTAAACAAAGTCTCAGATTTACACAAATCAGTTAGTGATAAACTGTGCGTGAAATGTTTACTTTAGTTTTGTGAATCATTACTTGAACTGTTGTTACTAACTAATTTTAACTCCGAAATTTTATTTACAAAAGTCATTTTTCAAATGAGTTGTCATCCTTTCGTTTATATTTTCTTGATTAGAAAAATTATGAATCCGTTGTAGTCATTGTTCCTCTTATATTTGTAACTTTTTATTATTTATTTACTTTAACGGTATGGCTTTCTTACATGACATTATTACAGCATATAAAAGAGTGATAAACAGCAGCGTATTCTTCTCCGCCAAGTTCACCTCACTCGGTGAACGTAAGCGAAATCAAATGATGGAGCGACACGATAGGCTATTCTGATTCGACTGTCCCCGGCCCTGCTAACTATATCAAAAGTCTTGATAAGGCGTAGGAACTGTATTCTACAAGCACCCAGAAAATATGATAATCTCACACACACAAATTGAGTTTATTTATACATGATAGAAACGTCCTTGGAAGAGCCACAAAAACAGCCTACTAAAATACTACATCAACCAATCACGATCAAGGATTTTTTGAGTGGGAAGTGTAATCCCAAGGTCAACTGATCAACTCTTGCGCGAAAACACAAAGTCAAGTGAGCTCTGGGGATCTAATGTCCCCAACAAATCTTATTCAGTTAAGATGCATGAACCACATTTCAACTAGATCTAAGAAACAACAACTTCTGCTTGATCAAAAAGAGTTTTTAAATCACTTAACTTATTTATTGGGTTTTTTGTCTTTGATCAGTCAACTTTTGAGTTTGTTTCAATTTAAAGAGTGGTGATATTGAAAACAAAGATAAATTTAATGACTTCTCAATTTTATAATAAAAATTATTCTTCAACCTTTTACTTCCAGTCTTTAATAGATTTATTTCATTTACTTTAATATTATAAATTGAAGAATTCCAAATTGGTCAGTTCATTTTCACAATGGGTGGAACGCTAATCAATGTGATTCTAAATAGTAGACTAATAAAAATTAATCCAACCATAGAAAAAATGAACTCATTTTATTAAGAAAACTGAAGAATCTCTTTTCTAAACAATAGCTCAATTTATTTAGATGATATAAATTTCCAGTCCTTCCTATCTTCAAATACTTTTCTAACAAATAAGCATTTGATGAGAAATAATTTCAAACGAAATTTATCATTAATTATTTACAACGTACTAGATGTACATTAACTCTAGGCTGTATTTAGTACGGACCGGCTCTTAAAAAATATAGACAAGTCAAAAAGATAACTGAACTATGCATTATGTACTTGTCCAACTTAGCATATTATATTAAAGTAAATTGAAATAAGTCAAAAAATCTAGCACTGAATTTAAGTGACAGGTTCGAATCAGAGAGAAAACGTTTAAAAATATGTAAACACGTCTATACAGTAGTTCAAATGAGATAGAACACAATTATTGATTTTTACTTGTGTGTGCAGATATATTAACTCCGCCTGAAACCCTTCTAGGATTATTACCGTTCCCATCCCCGGATTAAGGAGAAGGGTTGAGCATTAGCTTAGTGAACCGATTCCGTAGCAGACAAACTTGCTAAAAGTCGCTAACCAGAACAAAACCACTTCAACTATTTAAACTCTACGCTGGCATATGGAAGGTCTTCATTTGTAAAAGTTATGACAACTATCAATGAAAGCCAAGTTTCATCAGAAACTGCGAGTCTGATGCCCCGTCTCACAATCATCGAAACAATTCATACAGGTACATGGAGTGTTCGCACAATATGGGAGACTGGAAGAACCAATCTCTGTTGACCCACCAACAGTAGAAAAGATCAGCATGGCCATCGGACAAATCAAGAGTGGCAATGTGGCGGGACCAGACAACATACCAGCTGGGGCACTGCAAACAGACATCAGAGTAACAGCAAAGATACTCCATGCTCTGTTCAGTAAGGTTTAGGAGCAGGAACAAGCAGCGAAAGTTCCGACAGAATGGAAAAAAGGAAACCACATCAAAGTACCAAAGACAGCCCTCACCAAGAGTGAGAGGCAACACCCTACTATCAATACCTGAAAAAGTCTTCAACAGAGTGTTCCTGAACTGAACTGAGGATTCAATAGATGCCCAACTTCGAGAAAAGCAGGTTGTATTCCGTAAAGAGAGATCATGTACCGAACAAATTGCGACATTACGAACCATTATGAAACAATCAAGTAAATGAAACTAACTGCTATAAATCAAAATCCTTAAATATGACAAAGCATTTGACAGTGTGGAGAGGATGACATATGGAGTTTTATTCGACACTACAGTGTACCTGAAGAGATAGTCAACATCGTACGAAATTATTGCAGTGGGTTAAAGTGTAAGATCATGCATGGAGGACAGCCCATATTCAAAACTAAAAGACCGGTATCAGGCAAGGTTGCTAACTCTCACCCTTCCTCTTTCTTCAGGTAGTTGAGGATTATAAAGGCCTTAACTTCTCGTGGAAAGCAGTTGATACAGTGGACAACTAGGATGCAGCTAAACAATTTATATCTGGCTCTCCTATCTCAAATACGGAAACAAATGTGTAACGGCAGTCTTTATTTACATTGTCTCTATTTACACAAGAGAAAAAGCAATACAATACAACATGCATCAACCAAATCACGGGGAAGCACTGGAGGATGTAGAAACCTTTACATATCTGGGCAACATCATTGATAAACAAGGTAGGCCTGGTGCTAATGTAAAGACACGGATTAGCAAAGCAAGGACAGCATTACTACTTTTGAAGAACATCTACAACTCAGAAAAACTGTCAACAGATACCATAGTCACAATTCTTAATACGAACAGCGAAACAGTTCTATTGTGTGGAACGGAAAACTGGAGAACTACCAAAACAATAATCCAAAAGATACGGGTATTTATAAACAATTGTCTACAAAAGATGCTCCATATCTGTTGGTCAGACACCAACAACCTACTAAGTGAGAGAACAAACTAGGAAGGAATTAAGAAAAGGCGCAAAGGGGGGATTGGACACATATCGTGGAAATCACCAAACTGCCTCATGAGACAAGCTGTAACTTGTGATACTCAAAGGAAAAGAAAAGGACGAAAGAACAGATTGAGCAGAGAATATGAGACAGGCATGAAAAGAATGAGTAGCAGTTGGGAAGAATCAGGAAGGAAAGTGGAGGACAGGGTAGGTTGGAGAATCTTGGTCGGTGGCCTATACTCCACCAGAGGTAACAGGAGTAAGTAAATAACTGATACAGGTGCATTATTACTCATCTTTAGTAAAAGGATTTCAGTTTCTACATTCATAGGATCATACAAAATCTGCTTGCAAAACACTGTTGTTTAAATGAAAAGATTGATTTGTGTCTCTACGAGATAACGTGAAGTATCTATTCACTTGGAATCAATCTTTTCATTAGCACTTACTTTTGAATGTAAATCAATTTATAATGCCGGAAAACTTCAAATGAGCCAGCAACTCAGTGTATCAGCTAATAAATTATACCACCAATGTAAATTTAAACCTCAAATCATCTATAATTTGTACAGAATAAACATCGCTTCCCTTCTTTATAAAGTTTTATTGTATCAATTGCTAGCCAGATTTGGTTTTGGTTAGTATTTGGCTACTTGAAATCGACATTGGTGATCTTGTTGTTTGGTGTTAAAACTTAAACTTCCTGGTTTTCTATTATCAGATTTCGGATGACATATATTCAATTACCTGTAGTATCAGATTTTTGAAGCTCTTTGATGCAGTATTCTCATATATGTTCGAAAACATGTAAAAGATTCATGAATTCCTGTTTTATGATATCAAATATATAATTTAGTTAAGTATTGCTCCAGACAATCATCGTAGACACATAAAATATAAAACAGTTAGGGTTGTCAACCAAAAACTGCTTACCGAATGACATCAGTAAATCCCGATAAACCGGTGCTATGAAATGGGCTTTTAATATAGCCAGAAATGGCTTGAAACTAGGAAAGATTTTTGAAAAACCAGTAGCTTCTGTAGCAAAGTTAATGAATGCTCCTGTAGCCAGTATTCCATGAGGATGAAATCCAACTAAATAATTGACATCTGTAGGTAAACCATGTTTAATAAAAGATCTTTCAGTCATTTCATTGTCAAAACTATCATCGTTTTCATAATCGCCATCATTAATAGTATATTTATTGGCAATAAAATTCATGGCATGTGAACATTGCTTGATTGGATTATGAATTTCAGTGAATTTTATAAACTCTTTACTAATCACTAAATGTATTGGAAAGTAATCGGCTAACAATTCCCATATTTTTAAATAACGTATAAATTGTCTTGGATGAGCACCATGGTTTTCTGAATCCCAATCATAAAACCAATAGATTGTATATATCATGAATAAAATGGCGACAGTTGAAAATAGAACTTCCTTTTTTGAATCCACACTACGTGTTGACAATTCATGATCACTCGTAACATAGATATTCAAAGTGTTCAATATAAAAATAACCAAATTACTGATAATTTCATAACTTAGAAAGAATAATACCGAAAGGCAAAAAAGACCGAAAAATAGAAATGTTATTACATAAATATAAACAGTTGTATTTTGAAGGAATTCAGTAAATAGATAATTTAAACTTTTCGTATTTGAATGTTCACGACGTTTTAAAATGACTTCACCTTTATCATTTAATTTCATACCGTTAATATAAGCATTGTTTTCAGAAGAATTCCAACCGATCATTATATTTGTTTAAAAAGAAGGAGTAAATTATTTTTCAGCTTTCAACAATAATTACTTCTTTGAATTTCAGAACAAAACTCAAATTTGCAGGTATCGTTTGTTTTTTTTGTGATTAAAGTTTCGAAACACACGAAGTAATAAACTGGCGCTAAATATAAAAATTATGACTTTAATTTGAACACAGTCAACTTAAACAAATTATGATATAAATGGCGCATTTGTACCTCATTGATAAATCCAGCAATCACAGTGAAATAATAAAGGACATTGAAAATAAACTAATAAGAAACAGCGCAAAATTCAATCAATTAAAAATAGATAAACTTGGATTTATTATGTGAATAATAAAATAGACTGTATTTTAAACAAAGTTCAGTAAACTATGGACTTAGTCATTTGATTTATTTTTAGAAAGAAAAAAAAATTACCAATTTTTGTTGATTGTTTTGGTTAGGAAGATTATCTATGTGAATAGATAAATAATTCAGCCAATCTGTTTATAATTGGTCACAAATAGTTAAGATCTGTAATTTTTTTGGTTGATTATTTAAGACTTAATAGGTTATGATATAAACACTGTATAACTTTGTTGCTTAATTAAATGTAGTTTGTTTATTGTATTATAAATTCCATTAACAGTCAGTTGCATTGTATGAGTATTTTTAAACCAGAAACTTACTATTTTAAAGTTAGTCATTTGATTTGAAATCATTGTTGTGTATTTTTTGTTGATTGATGCCTGCCCTTTACAATCGGACTCTGTTTTTATTGTTTTTCTCAGCAAACGTAAATATTTACGGAATACTTTTTCTAACCTTGTAATGCAACCTTTATCTAGTAAAAAGATTCAATATCTTTACTGAACAAACTGGATAGTGTATGACCTTGATGAAGTTATTTGCACTAACCTGTAATAAAGATGCATAGTGTTCGATTTTTTAAACATTCTAACATTTACTTGTCTTTATTTCTCATTAAGGAGATTGAATCAAAGTTTTAGTGAGTATCTTGTCTAGCTTTGATTTATTACCGGAGTAAATCTGTTAGGTAACAAAAAAATTTTCTCTTTAAAACTATCACTTCACCAGTACTGTAACAATAAAAGTTACTATAAAGTCATTCAAGTTCTTTACTACCATCACAAGATGGAAGCTTCAATGTTCAATCATTAATTTATGATCTGTATGCTATTGGAATACAAGTCTTACTGCTTTTAAAGGATTTATTCACATTACTATTTCATTTGTTCTAGAGGGCAATGTACCTCTTGATCCCTGAGGAACTTGTAGATGTCTCTAGTTGCAATGTAACAATAAACCGTATTGATTTCAATTATTAACATACTTGTTTAAAAATTTTATTGAGAAATTCTGGCAGACAGAGAGAGAAAGAAAGAAAATATACAGTAGCAATCTGACGAAAAACACCACATAATTCATAAAGCAAACGAAACTTCATTTAGCGGAATTTACGATTCCGTGAAATTTTATCAACACACTGTGTTAACTAATTTATTTGAAATATTTGTCAAATACAGAATACTTGATTTAATCGTTTTATTTGCTTAATAATTATTTTAACACATTACAGAAATGTTTCGCAAAAATAATTAACAAATTCATTGTGTGTCGAATTATTGATAGTATTACCGATCAACGTTGACCATTTACCAAATATGTAACAATTGATAACAGGGTAATTTAGCAACTTGAGAGTTAGTTTTTATAAGTGTCAACGTACAGTTATTTCGAAATCGTAAGTCACTCACTAAATTGATTCCATACATTTTATGTGAAAGAATAATTCTCCAGTATTGAATCCAATTGCAGAATCTGTTAATAATTACTTCTCTAAAAACTAATATTCATAGTTGTAATAAATCAAGCAATTCTTGTTGGTTGAAATAAAAAATTTGGTAGCTATCATCGAAATATTTTAAGAAATAATCTCCAGAATATTCTACACTGTTGACGATTTGAAATGAAATCATCGTTTCTAAGCCTCAGACCTACTTACTCAGTGATTATTTAGTGAAATCATTTTCGAAAGGTGAATTTCTGAAAATTTTAGTGTGAAACGATTGTTTGACATTCAACTTGATTTGCTGTTGGAAATATGTAACTTTATAAATTTCTCTTAACAAGCGACAGTATGAAATATGACAGAGTTAGACATGATACCATCTGAAAATTGATTAGAAGAGTATGAAACCAATCAAAAAACTCCAGAATAAAAATGGCCGTTCAAAATTATCTATACCGTGATTGGAGTACAACAATGAATGAATCCAGGTAACCGAGAACAAATAGTGTCATCATTAGAATAGATCAAAAGATCAATAAAAATGTACGATTAACGAGATAGTGCTTTCACTACACAAAAACTCACTTCATACTAAACCTGGGTTACAAGAAATCGTACAAACAAACAAACTAGCATATCCTCATATCATTTCAAGTGCTTTTGTAACATATTTTGGGACACAACAACAATGTGAAGACTAACTAAAAATTTCGAATCCTAAGATAAGTTTACATAGGATGAACTTGAATTTGTTTTCAAATATATATATATATATATATATATATATATATATATATATATATATATACAGAGAGAGATGTCAACTATTCTTTTTTAATATAACTTTCGACTGTTCAAAGTTTTTCTTGATACAAATTAAAACTCTTTATTACATGGGAGCAAATGATCAATATATCTGCCATTAAGTGCAAATGCAAAATGTACCCGAGATCAGAAATATTAACTGCTCATGAAATATTGATCTTTTTGTAAAATAACCGGTTGATTGCATGCATAATTCATTGATTGTTTGAATCGAATGTTCAACAAACTGTTTTACCCCTAAATCTATTTTTAACAACATTTCATTTATTAAAAGTACTCAGTGCTACATAATAATGAATTTTTTTTAAAATTTAACTGCTTAAAGAACTCGAAATCATATTTGTTGTATGGCGGGAACTTTTAGGCAAGGAATGCAGAAAACACTGGAGAATTCCATCTATAACCTACATCCAAAACTCATGTTGATAGTCTCAACTATTTATACATCTCGGTATGAAGAATTGGTTTAATGCTTACGGCATTAGACTCACAACAGTTGGTATTCAGTTTCGAACTTTCACCTAACTGCTTTAGACTAGAAAAATGGGTTAGGTCACTAGCCTCCGTACTTAAAGGTTTGATTGAAAGCTAAGTATAAAAAAAAGAGTATACGATTAGCAGACATCAACACATGACTGATTTGTACATGTTTAGTGGAAAGTCAAACTAGTAATACTTGATAGGTCTACTGAAACATGGTCCAATCTAACAGTCAATTAATTACTTTTACTCATTTGAATTACAAATCTTACTTCAACCATTTTTCTTTAGCTCACGAAATACCACACTGATTTTGGTAAATTAAGAGATAAATCAATGTGCATAATTATTTTGTGATTGCTGGCAGTGGCTCTATCAAACGTTCTGTACATAAAAAGCCGATATAGATAGGGTTATATCTTAGTTTTGCTAGTCACTATCAGTCCAGTACAATCGTAGATTAATATAGGGCTTTCTCAATAGGAGCAGTCGTATTTGTATTAGTAATACTGTTTAGAGAGACATAAGGCTTGTGAGTGAAAGGTTGATGAATAACGGTTATTCATTAAAGTTTATAGACCGTGTAAACGATTGTGTCACATCCTATTGCGTCTATCAGTCTACATGTATGTGTGGACACGTGTGTAAGTGGGAGTAATCGTGAGCTTGAAATAAGGATGGTTGGACACATACCTAAATGGCTACATAAACAATGATCAAATAAGATCACAGACCAGGTAAATATCATCCTCCATTGCTAGACTTTTGGTTGAGACCAGTTGAACGGTTGATATCAAGTCACCCTTTAGAGCGTTATACAATTATCCAAGGATGTATACTAAGGCTCATAGAAGCCTTGGCTATACGAAAATTGAAATCCCCTTCAGGTATTTAAAACCTGATTGTTGTTACCCTTAACCTACCTTGTCAATCCTCATTGATTATCCAGAGTGGTTTTCACATTGTGCACTTCATCATTATTATTATTATTATTTCCGTAACCTTTGACCTGTATATATTCCATATATAACGCCATAAAAATATCTGTGTGACCAGATTGTCTGAAATGTATTATTCAAATATATCACATAATTATGATAACCCTCGTCTTTTTATAGCACTGTCTAAACAGATTGAAAACCAGAGAATAAATTTTAAAAGAAAAAAATTAATATTTAGTTGTATAATCAGTGACTCAACTCATAGTGTCAGAAAGTAGTTGAAATCACATGACTGAGATCTGATTATCAGTGTTGATAACTTATTTATAATCTGTCACAGGTTTTCAGATAGCTAAACAATTGCATGTATTGAGCCTTACAAAATGTTCTTGAGCACAATTATGACTGTGAAACGTAATATGCTTACTTTAATCAGAAAATGTATGATAATTCTTTTCACTATGATACTCACATGTTCAGAAACGGATAAAAACAATCTTGTTACTCAAACTGACAATGATTACAACATCATAATGATATCAGCCATATACTAACTCTTCTAGCTTTAGTGCTATTAAAAAGATAAAAGCTATTTATTTTTATATCAAAGAATAAACTAAAGATGATTTTAATTGAAAAACAAACAGATTTAATCCTCTCTGTTATCAGTAGTCACTAAGTTATTAAGTCTGATTGCCACCTACGCAAACACTTTCATCTGATATTCTACCAATCAAATTTTGCCGTTGGAAAAGTTATATATAAACCGCATTGAACTGTCACAAATGTTTTAACA